CGCGACGACACCATCGGAAGATCCCTTTTCTGGTCGATGCAAAAGCTGTGGTGGGTGCGGCCGCCAAGGGCCGCAGTTCTGTGCGCGCTTTCCTCAAGATCCTGCGAAGCGCAGCTGCCTACACGCTCGCTGCTGACATCCTTCCCAGAATCGTCTATATTCCTTCTGAGTCAAACCCCGCGGACGCCCCATCCCGGGGACGGAAACTCAGGAGAGGACGACGCTGCCAGTCTTCGGATCAGTTCTGCATAGATGCAACAATTCGCGAATTCTTGGCGCCACTGTCGCCCTACCCGTGGCAGCCGGGCATGTAACCGAGCCTGCTTCTGGAATTTCTGACCAGGCAGGCCTTCGGGCAGCTGCAGGAGAGGCTGTTTGCTGCTGCTGCGGGGGTGGGCTTCCACGATCTGCTCCAGTCGTGGCCTTTGTGGCCCAGCCAGGGAGTGGACCTGAGGCCCCGGCTTTGGCCTACACTTCTCTCTGGAGTTCTGGGCTCTGCATGTCACTTTCCGATCTTTTTCTGCGGCGACGCTTCGCTTACACCAGTGCGGGGTATTTGGGCTTTTCAAAGACATCAGCTTGTTTGGCGAGCTTCGCCTTGGAAGTTTTGTTCTCCTTGAATCGCTCGCTCTACCCTGCAGTGGCGTCATTCCAAAACGGGCAGTGCTCATGACCGGAAGCAAGTCTGAATGAGTGGCAGCCTCAGCAATGAGGGGATATTGCTGCAGCGAACGTTCCAAGCACCGACAACAGGCGTAAGTTGCAGGTGCACAGGACATGAAGACGCGCAGCTGTGCATTCGTCCAATGCCGTCATGTTGACCAAGCTTTTGCCATGTAGCCTTTCACAAGGGTGTAGGTGCGAAAAGCGCCCCGCCCAACCCGCCCGGGCTTTTCAAAGACATCAGCTTGTTTGGCGAGCTTCGCCTTGGAAGTTTTGTTCTCCTTGAATCGTTCGCTCTACCCTGCAGTGGCGTCATTCCATACCCTGCAGTGCTCATGACCGGAAGCAAGTCTGAATGAGTGGCAGCCTCAGCAATTAGGGTTTAGGGTTTAGGGTTTAGGGTTTAGGGTTTAGGGTTTAGGGAAACAGCCAAACGGATACCAATCCAAGTTGTCCTCCTCTGCGGCTTGACATCTTCAGAACCCTGACGCAAATAATGCAGTCACTTCTCAACAGTCAGTGCTAAAGCTCAAACCGAACTCTTGAACCCTGAACGCTTCACCCAATCCACAACTTTCTCTTGTTCTGAAAGCAAGACACGCACCCTAGTGGCCCTGGACCCCAAGCCAAGAAAGGGGGTTTTGGGAGTCTAGGGCTGACTGGGCTCCTACGCGCTATCGGGCCCGTGGCACGTTTTAGCTGGGTTCTCTCCGCAAGTTCTGCAAATCGTGCGTTTCGTTTCTGTGCGGGGAGTACGGAAAGAAGACTGCGTGCCTCGCTATACTGTAGTATCTTTCCTCAGTAGTGGCTCCCTACTAGTGGTACAACAGTTGCTGCCACTGCACGTGGCCAGATGCAGCTGTGGCCTGTTGAGGCTCCTGCAGTCACTTACGTCGTTGTATGTCGATTTAGCGGGAGTGCTCCGCCTTCTTGATAATTTTCCTTCATCTGTCACATTCGCAATCGTATCGTGGCAGTCGGGAGGGCTCAGATCGAACTCGGTCCTGAGGAATGCACAGCTCCCTCAGATGAGGCCAAGGTTGGCAGAGCATTGGGCTTGCAGAGATCGGTCGCAGTAAAAGCGAGATGCGGTGAGTCTGCAGGTGCAGCCTTCTGGCACAAAGGAGACTCGACAGCCTGCATCCGTTTGTATTCGCAAGGTGGAGTCACGGATGTGTGCAGCGCAGTGCTGTCCAGGACATTGCCAGCGGCTCGGCAACTGCGGATCCAACTGCCAAACCCTCAGAAGACAAGCCCAAAAAAGCGCCATGGGGCATGGGCAGTGTGCCAAAAGACGTCGTTGCAAGGAGATGACCGCCTTGGATGCCCTCATTGAGGGCTCCCTCCAGTTGCCGCATGCTGGGGCCCCTGGGGTGCAAACGTCCTTGCGTCCCAGAGCTTTGCGAGCGCAGGCCCATGTTGGCCGTAGCCACGGCTGGGACGGTCAGGATGCTTGTAGTCCCGGGTTTGCATGTGCCTTGGAGTGAGATTGCGCAGCATGCTCGTGGTTTGCATGACTGAATTGTTCCAGAAGCCATCGCGTGTCGAGAGCAGTGCGGTAAAATGCGGCAGGAGCCGAAAGAGCCGAAGGAGGTTGTCCAGGAGGGTGTCCAGAGTCCAAAGGATGGTTCAGGTTCGGAAGCCGTGAGTGTCACGATGTCAGAAGATCCGTCGGCCAATCTCCGCCAAAGCCACGCGCAGGGCAACCCGACTCAGATCCTCTGGAGGCCCACGTGTCTGGGCTGTGGCATGCGCTGTGGAGTGTGCAACTAAGAGCCCCCTCTCCAACACAAGCAGAGACCCCCTAGCACCACATTTAAAGGGTCCACGAAACCCTGAACCTATTTCCTTTTTCAGAGGAGCCGCGCTCCAAGACCGGTCTAAGACTGATTGGGGAGGAGGCGCCTCCGAGCTCCGGCTGCAGGGATACAAAACCCAATTTCAGTGATTCCTTGGCATTAGGAGTGCAGGGGTGTTATGAACGTGTTGCATAGTGTTGCTGATTGGCTTATTTGAATTCTGTCATGAAGTTTGGTTGTTTTTCATTGTGTTGTTTTTTTTGTTGGGGGGTTTTACAAAACCCTTTTGCGAGATGGTTTGAGAGCTATCAGGGCCCCTGGTTTGGCGTTGTGCTTGGGGGGATGGTCTGAGGACACTGCCTTGGCAATATGCCACGGGCCCAGAGCCGTTCCACGGATTGCAGCGTATTCTGCATGCTTTCCAGCTTGTCCGTTCCTTCCAGGTGTTGAAAGACGAGACCCGTCGGTGCTTCGTTGGATTCCTGCCGCGGACGCTAGGCAGATGGTGTTGCAGATGGTGGCACTCTGCATGGTGTCCCCCTGCATCGTTTGATTTCTGAACTCCAACTTGCTGCAGGCAAAGATGTATGTGCCAGCTTCTTCGAAAAGGCGCTTCAAGGTGCGACGATGTTCGTCGGTCTGTCTCATCTGACATTCTCTCGATCGACTCTTAAGTGAGCGTCGTGAAGCGAAATGGTTGAGATCAACTGTGGCCGGTTCAGGTGCGGAATGGATACAACCAACTGGTCCGAATGGACCCATCCCGCGAAAGACCGCGTGGATGGTCTTCTTTGAATGTGATTGTGCCTATCGTGCGGAGCTTATGGGTCATCATTGACTGCTTCTGCTTTGTTGGCTGGCCTCATTCTCATCCGAGGTTATGGTCGCATCGAGGTAAAGCCCCAGCAATATCCGCAGTGGATGTGCACCTTGATGCACTGGGTTATGTGAGGCCCTCAGTTCAGACCCACATTTCGCAGGGTCTGTAGAGAAACGTTTCCTGAGCTTTTTGCTCTTTGTGGAGAGCAGTCTTTTGACCGATGTGAGGCCCTGCTGCGGCATCGAGCCCAGTCGCAGCTCTCCTCTGTTGTGGAATGTCGAAAACAGTGTTTCCAGTTGCAAGGCATCAACGAGCAGAAGGCAGGGGCGGACAACGTAAAACTGGCAAACTCCCAAGGTTTCAGTGTACCGTATACCGTATACCGTTTTTTCAGGACTGGCCAAACAGCTGCAACCTCAATCTCTACGAGAATGGAGGCGCATGTGGTGAACGAGTTCGCTGCCATCAGCCGCCGCCATGCTTCAATTGCGTGATGATTGCTTCGCCAGTGGAAAACACCACAGCTGGAAGAAATTGACAGTCTGCAAAGCAGGTATGTCAGTTGGATGGCATGCTGACGATGAGCAGCTTTTCCAAGGCAAGCCGGGGCCTCAAGAGCCACACCTTGGAACACACCTTGTCACTTTTCTTGGTTTTTTCTGCAGGGTTTCCCTGCAGGGCCAATGGAGAGTTCGTTTGGGAGTCCTGGTCTCCCGCAAGCGTAATGTGCGAGATGTCTGGAAATTCTTCGGAGCGCCGAGGCAGCGGGACTGCCGCATCATCTCGCTATCGCTCGGGGCCACGCGCGGTTTCGAGGTCCGATCGAACTGGCGTGGGGCCTAGAGGCAAACCCGAGAGTGGAACCTCCACAATCTCCAGGCCAAGCCAAAGCTTCAATTTCCTAAGCCCTCCAGCGCCTCTAGTCTCTAGTGTTTTTCGTAGACAGTCTTTCCACACGTCCTCGCCAAAGCCCTACGGACATGCAAGTGCATTGGGCCATTGGGTGATTGGCAAGCGCCTCTGTGAGCAATTGAGGTCGGAGCTGGATTCCACAGTGCGCCTGGAGTTGGGGGAGGGCGACCTCTGCACCATGGCCACTTGGTAAAACCCGTTGGTCCCAAGGAGAGTGAGGAATGAAGGAGAGGGGAGGCCCTTGCTCAAAAAAAGCCTTGTAGCTGAGGAGGGCCTGGTCCAGAAGCACTTCCAGCACCGAGTGCCGCGTGAGGACAAGGCGATGGGAGCCCCCAGTCCCGGAGACACCGCGCTTGGGGGTTCTCACACTAGGTACATCTAGGTACTCACATGAGCTCACATGCTGGTGCTAAGACCGCCTCGTTTTGCAGCTTGCTTCCCACGTTTTTGTTGCGTGGTGCATCTGCAGCTTTCTGCTAGCCAAACACAAGCCCGTTTCTGAGTTCGTGCAGGCGACGGGGCCCCGGATAAACCTCACTTGGCGGTGGATCGCCATCTGTCTGCAGTTATCTGCAGTTGATGACCCGACAAGAGAACATGACGTCATCCTTGGTTGCTTTGATCTGTTGGTGCAGGTGAGGCACGCGCCGCATTGTCCACACGCGCGCCGGCGATGACGCCAAAAGTGCGTGGACGTGCTCATGGCACGAGATGTGCTGCAATGTCGCACTCGACTTGCGCATGCTTGCGCCGAACGCGTCTGTGCCTAGATGTTTAGAATCCTTTCAGTGACTGCAAAGTCTGAGGAAAATGCGCGAGACAGCGCGTGCTCGTGCCGAGATGGAAGTAGCGCGGGCCCCAGCTCGAGAACGGGAATGGCACATTAGCCGTAGTACCATTCAGAAGCAGCAGCAAAAACGTAGGAAAGGTTGAGAGTGTTACGTGGGTGTGGTTCCTCTCTCCGTGTCCTTCAGGACTGCCCGATTTTCCTCTCCCAAAGAATGCGGAGAATGCTGGCATCCATCCTGAAGTCTCCCCTGTCTGAACCAGTTGGGCTCTCAGAGTTCTCTGCGTAAGATTTTCAATATCAGTTAAAGGATGGTCGAGGTTCCATGGTTTCCAGCACTTTTGCTTTCCCTGCTCTCTTTTCCAAGAAGGAAGAGGCAAGTTCAGCCAAGGCAGTGGGGGAGTTTGATTCTTCGGCGTTGGAGGACCGCCCAGACCCGAAAACCTCAGCGGCGCACATGGTGCAATTTTCCTGCGGAGGAGAGTGTCGCCAAAGCCATTGCGGCACTCACCTTCAATCACAACCTACCTCCTTCCTACGTCCAGTGAGCCGAACCGGTGTGCAAGCATGTTCTTTCGAGAGCCCAACGCTTTTGAGGTACTTCCTGAACTCAGCACCCGAGCTGTGGAAAGGACAGCAGGACGGATGCTGATTGGCACCGATGGTTTTCTTTAAGGGCCTTCGTCTGCCTTCCCAGGAGTCTCATGATGAGCAAGTGTACAGTCCAGGCCTTGTTGTGGAGATTCGGCAAGTACATGCAAGTACCATCCTTGTTTCTGCGTGACTGTGTGCTGTGTATTGCCGTGTAAAACCCATCCAAACCCTACACCAGACCACCTGCATGCACAATATCCCAACATATCCCAACCCTTCGAAACTCTGTCGACCTTCGAGGTTGCATCCTTGAGCGAGTTCAGCGAGAACTTCGCGAGGTGCCAAAGGGCGGCGTGCAGAATCGTGTGGGCGACGGGGCCCCGAGGCCGTGCGCAAAGGCTCTTGTTGTGCCGGTGTTGCCAGGATCCGCCGCCGAACGTGGACACCAGTCCCAGCCCGGAGGATTGTGGGCTGCCTGAGACGACTTTGAGAAAAGCATCTGCGCTTCAAAGCACTTCTCTGCACTTATCGGCACATCTCTCCGGAGCCTTTGGCCCGGCCCAAGCGAGGTCTGCGAAACTTGCAGGCAGCTGCAGGGATCTTGGGGGACTCCACTGAGGTTGCATATGCTGCATCTTGTGCCACACTTTGCGCGCTTGTTCGAGTAATTCGCTCACTTGTAACGGGAAAGCTGTGATGTTGAGGTTGTCAGCCTCAAGGCAGGGAGTACTTGTGGCCGAAATGCTTGTTGTGCTTTCTCCATAATGAGCCGATGGCATCCGACAAGGGCTTGGTTATGATGCTCTTTGCCAGGCCTCCGAGAACGGCACTTACGGGACCGGCGCGGCGCACAACGAGGATGCCGCAGCCACAACGAAGGGGGATACAGTGTGGACATTATGCGTATGGTATGTGTCGATGGAGTCATAGCATGGCAGTTCGAGGTCGTCCGGCAACGCAGGGAGTCCGCGATGCCCAAGGCCTGCAGGGTCAATAGATGTGGGTAGCTGGTACAGACAGCGAGAGACTGTTGCCAGAGTTCTGGCTAGATGTGGACAATCCAGGCCTGGTTCGGACCAGATGGCATGGACGAGGAGGGGCTTGGGCGGTCGCTAGCGTCGCCGCTAGTGTGGCTTGCATTGCTTGCATGCCATGTGCCCGAAGCTTGTGGTGCCTATCGTGTCCATGCTCTCTCTCTCTCCCTCTCTCTCGCTCGGCTTCTCGGTGAAGAGTCGCTCTTCCATGCAGAAAAGACGTGGAAGGATCTATACACGTTCAAGCGTGTCATGACGAATAAGCTCCCCATCGCTCAGCACAAGGCATGTGGCAGCAGGATGCAGGTTGCACGTGCGAGTCTGCAGCAGTCTGGCACTACTGCAGCTGCGTGATGCCTCACAAAGCCGCCCCGCAGACTGAAATAACGGAGCTGATCAGGGACAATCAGATCGTGCCAGGACGCCAGGAAAAGGGGAAAAGGACACGCAGATGCCTCTCCCGTTCAGTGCGCCCCCAGCCGAGGCTTATTCAGGGCGAGACAGGGTGTGGCAAGACGACACAGGCCTTGGCTGCCGTGAGCATCGGCATCACGAGTATGGTGCACACAGTGCACACATGCTGCTCACAGGTGCCACAGTACATCCTGGAGGTGTGCATCGTGTGCATCAGCACTTGCACTTTCCAGATCGAATGTCATTCCATAATGTACGTGCCAAAATTCAAGATCTCAGGGCATTAGGACTCAAGTGCTCCGCCGTTTGCCTGTCTCAGGCAGCACTCCGCATGCAGGCGGAGGCGAAGCGTCCGGAAACAAAGGCCACGCTTGCAGACTGCTAGTTGTGAACGGCGACCATGTCAGGATCGGTTTATGAACTCGATGAATGTGATGACATATTGCACCCTTTCAGACGACTGACTTGCGGCGCCCTGTTCGAATCGTGGTCACGCAGCCCCGAGCCCAGTCTTTGACCCCTAAGCAGCCCCCCGAAGGTGAACTGAAGAAGTGAAGACATGGCAGACACCGTCCTCACGAGGCCCCGGCGGATCGCGGCCATCACGGTGGCAAAGCGCGTGGCCGAAGAACTGGGGGAGAAGGCGCTGGGGCTGCTGGGGCAGCGCAGGGGGAAGGGACTCGGATGGTTCAGGTTTTGCGGGCGTCAGGGGCATTGAAGGAGGAATAGAATCGCTCATAGCAGCTCTAAAGTCATCAACCGAACCGTGAAGCCTTGATGCCGTGTGATGCCCTGCAGAGGGATCCTGCCAAAACGGGCAGTCGCGACTCGCAGGTTGGCGAGGGGGTCGTCGGCTACAAGATCCGCGGCACGACCGTCCGCCCGGCACGGATTGAACCCTGGAACCAAACGACTGCATCTACCTGGCAGGTGGCCTCCCCAAAGTGCAAGCTCCTTTTCTGCACCACCGGCGTGGTCCTGTCCGCTCGCTGAGCCTCTTCATGCTCCAGTGAATTGAGAGGCTCTATCTTGCGCTCCTTGAGGCGACGACTGGCAAATGAAGGCTCCAAGTTCATGTTCAGTCCGAAGACGGTCGGCAAGCTCAGACAATTACCTCTAGCAGCCCGAGTAGGCCTCTAGCAGGCCGAGCCGGGGGGCTATCGGCTAACCCCTGTACTCCCTTACAAGCCAGCCCAAAGCGATGGGAGTCCCATCGTCACCTGGCGGCATCTGCTGAGGTCACCCATCTGCTAGTGGATGAGGCGGCAGTTCAGGGATGCTTGATGAAGGTTAGGTTTGGGCCTCCTTGGGTGCTTGTCCTGTGCAATCTGTTGTACAGCAGTTTCACTTACACTGTCTCTGCATGGCTTTGGAAAGGTGCATGAGCGAGGGGTTGAGACGGATTTCATGCTCACCTTCCTTCGCGAGGCATCGATTAGCTTGCTCTTCCTCAGCATAATTCAAACGAGAAGCTCATCAAGAGCTGGTCTATACCATAATCTCCTTTGCCCAAAGTGTCGTTCCAGATTTTGCACGCTTTGCCTTCTTCAGATCCGCGCCAATCGTCCGAACCTTCGTGTTGTGCTGATGAGCAACTCGGCTGCAAAGGAGGGTCACCCGTGGCGAAGCCTAGAAGAAGTGCCATGCTTTGTTACATCGTAAAAAAACACCGAGGTGCCACTATGGACACGGAGTGCTTTCTGAAGTACTTCAGCCAGCACCCGAGGGTTGAATGCATTGGCAATGCAGGACATGCACTCAGCCTTGTCGCTCGCAGAGGTCTGCCGGTGAAGGTTGCTGCGGTGGACCCCTCCTCGGACGTCCGTTGATTGAAAAGCGCGATGCTAGACTGTGATTGCCTTGCCAGCTTTTCATGGCACGAGCAATCTTCTAAGGGTGGCGAAGCTTTGAAACAGCCGCCGATGGTTGTCTGCCCGGCTCCTGGAAGTGCAATCCTTTCCATGATGCCGTCATTGTCGTCGAGTCGCAGATCAGGGTTAAGACGAGTTCTTGGAGATGTCAAACTAGAACGCCGCATGCAAGAAGCATCCGAGCCCTCCGAAGTGTTACCATTCTGCCACGAGATGAAATGATGAGATCCGTTCTGCCCCCGAAAGCCCTGCGAGGCCCGGCATTCTGCCACCCGGTAGCAACTGCCTCGGATTGCCTGTTGTCCTTCTGGTGGATTTCTGGCCTGAAGCCGGACAGTCGAAAGAATCATTGGAAGACCCCGCAAGTTCTCGGACCCTATCGACAAATGTGGGGCACCGACACGCCATTCTCTTTGAACGAGATCTGGTTGCTCGGCAACTTGTACTAGAGTTGTAGGAGGAGCCTGGCAAGCTGTGTGCCTGAGGCTGAGTGTTACATGGAGGCCATCAACACTCGGCTAGGTGGCGGCCTTAGCTGTGCATGTCTGGAACGGCGAAGAAACATTCTGAGCGGCATCCTGCAACACGGTAAAGCGGTCGCTCCTTCAGTCCTCCGAGGCCGCAACCGGTCTCCCGAAGCGAAGAGCCAGTGCCTCAGAGCTTCCGAGCAACCCCGAGGAGCATTCCAAACTGAGAAAAGGTTTAGAGTGTAGGGTTTAGGGAAGTATTTCAACCTAAACCCAGATTTAGAGGGTTCTCTCGAGGGTTTGGCGCTCAGGTCCAGATGAGCTGCGGAGAGAGCACACCGAGATGTCCCAAGCACAGAATGCCTCCTCCAGCCGGCTAAGAGGCTTAAGGAGATCTTGGGGGGCATGTGGGTTGCTGAGTGTAGTCTGAGTGTATCACTCCGCCTCTGGAGCGTTCTGCCCATGCGCTGAATGCCTGTCCGGGATCCGGAGAGGGTGAAAGCACATCTCCCAGAGGCAGTCGATACCGTGCCTGCTTCACTCAATTTAGGTCGGAGAGCGATGGCATTGACTATGATCTCATCCTAAAAATTGTGGAGGAGCAGGCAACCCAGTGGTTGCAATCGCAGGCATGAATGTGCCCTGAATTCCGTCAACGAGCGAATCTGGGGGGAAGTGTCATCAGTGTCTTTAGGAAGGCATGAGGCATCTGCTCCCGATACGCGAGTTTCATGCTTGCGATTCACGTGTAGATTACCAGGTCTTCATGTAATCTGCAAATTGACCTGATCAAGACAGAAGCTGCCCACGTTGTCGGCAGTACGATCTGCATTTGAATAAAGGCGAGTGAAGCTGTAAAGTGCCGGTCTGGCCTAGGATCGAAACCTCCCCGGAGGGGGCCTGGACCTTTGCGCCAGAGTCCATGCGAGCAGCAGTCAAGGAGTGCAGCTTGGTTCTTACGGGCCTACAGGGGATGGCCTTTGCATCGCATCGCTCTGCGATTGAAAACAAGACGGACTGCATCTCCAGAGCATGTCTGGTGATGATGATGATGATGATGATGATGTGGCGCAGTCTCAACTGAGTCTAAAGTCGAGTTGACACTACTACAGGATGTTTGGCATGTTAGCAGCGCTTACGAAGCTCGTATAGTAAACATCGAACGGCGTTGACAATGATGGACCTGGCTTCTCAGCGCAGATCTGCTGACGAACATTTGCAAAGGGGCCTCGTTCGCCCTGATCGCCATTGGAGAAAGCAAGCCCTGGTAGTTAATCGATGGTGAACACGTGCCAAAACCACTGGCGTCCGCTGCACATCGAGGGGAGGAGTTTAGGATTCCGAGCCGAGCCCGACTGCAGGGGGTTTGCATCCAGGGTTCAGGCAGGCTGAGGTTTGTTGATTTTCCAGCATCGGAGCCGATTGGCCTAGAGAACACAGCAAAAGAGAGTGCGTGCACCTTTGGCGTGGGCCGCTGATGCCTGTCTTCACTTTGAAGCGCCCGCAGTGGTCAGACGTGTGTTATTCTCGCGGACTCAGCCCCCTAAGCTGGCAGCAACTTGTCAGGCCACCAGCTTCTTAATGCGCAGTGAGCAAGCACCTCCGTGCAGGACCCCCACCGTGGTGCCGTCCTCGTCTTCCTCCCGGGGCTCGGGGAGATCACCCAGCTGATGCCAGGGCCCTTGTTGGAGATCGCTGTGATCGCTGCAGGCCATCTGAGGCTTTGGGCTTTTGCGGCTAGGGGTCGCCTTAGGCATGCTCAGATACGGCGACGTTTGTATGCAGTTCGCACAGGTTCACAATAGTGGAAACTTAGGTCCAAACTGACAGATGACAGCACCATGTCATCAAAGTGGTGGGTGTTGCCACTTCACGCAAACCTTCCTCCGGAGGACTTGGGAGTGGATTCTGGTTTGGGCTTAGTGTCACCGTTTCCGTTGTGCCCGACGTTGGTGTATGGAAAACAGCTCTGTGAGGAGCAGCAGCAGTGCTTCAGCACCTCGCTGCCAGCAGGTGGGGACAAGCAGGGCAGATCATCATCAGCCCATCTCTGCATCACAGCGTCGAGAATCTGATCTCCGGCTTGGTAGCACGGCATGATCTAGGTTGCACGCGGAAGATCATCTGCTCCACCAACGTTGCAGAGACGTCTGTGACGGTGCGCGGCCCAGTGGCTCAGCAAGGTGCAGGATTGTGCACGTAGTGCCTTTCTAGCCGAAAAGTCTCTCAGGAGACTTTGGTCAGAAACAGACTTTGTCCAACCCAATATGGCAGAATCATAGCAGAACCGGAACTCCGTACCCGTCCCGCAATTTCAGAGGGTGGTGGAATCCGACTGCTTCTCGTTTGAGCGATTTTGAAAAGTTTAGAACAGTGCATGAGTCCGTTTTCCTTTGGTTGCCATGGCTTGCTAGAAGTTTGGTGATTGCGGATGTGTAGAAAGATTCGAAAAGCAGGTAAAGCAAGAAGCTCCGCCTTGCTCAGTTTTCTGTGCGAGGTGCCTGACGTAACCGTGGTTATCGACACTTGCCGAGAGCGTCGGAACCAGGCCACGTGCTCTCTAATGACCCTATAACGCCCTCAATATCCCTGAATAGCCCTCAGCCACTGCCTCGAGGTGGATCGGCACAGCAACACGCCGATGCTCCGTGCGGGCTTCAGTGAAGTTCGACTTGAGGGAGGGAGGCGTAAAAGAAGTCCCTCTCTCAAGGGAACAGTTCCCCAAGGCGAGCAGTGGTGTGCCTTGGATTCGCTGAAGCAGCGGCGCGGCCGCGCTGGCCGTGCTCGGCTCCCAAGCTTGGGAGCCCGTCCTTTAAGAAGTGAGACGTGCCCGCACGTGCCCGTACGTGCCCGTACGTGCCCCACTCCAAGCAGCAAGGTCCAACCCGGCGTTTGCTTGCGGCTTTTGCCTGAGAGGCCAGCTACATTTTGAGCTGAGGTTTCTTGAACCTTATTGAACCGAATTGAACGGTCCTGTACCGTATTGAGCCGTGTTGAATCATATTGACCCATACTTCGCGTGGCACAAAGTTAAAGGTTTACAAGCATGTCGAGGCACCTGGAACGCTTGGATGCCGTGTCACCTCCGGAGATGCAGCGCGTGCCTTTGGAGAACGTGTACCTTCAGGCGCGGACACTTGAAGAGTCACTTGAAGAGTTGGAGGCGCAGCATCCAGCAGCGCTCGAACCACGGTTGCCCCCCAAACCAGGTCTGCGCAAGTGGCATTGCTGACAGGCTCGGCCGTATTAGAACAACAGGACATAGAGACATAGAGGGTACCCTCACGTGCCGGTGCAATTTGGCTGCAGTGTGCAGCCTGCGCTGAGACCTGCTGAGACATCGGTATGGAAAGGCGAACCTTGAAAGGTGAAGGTCGTGAACAAACTGACTTGAGCCAAAACAAGGGCCGCATTCTTCATCCCATTTTTTCCAACAAACCCCGAACCAGACATAGTAGCACGAGGCCTGGCTTCCTGGCGAAGACGCCCGATCCACCCGACGAGCTTTCCGTGCTCTTTGCGGAGGTCATGGTGGGTCGTCTTCGTTCGTTGCTCATTCGGGCTCGGCAAAACTCCACCTGCCCATCCAAGTGAACGCCAGATAGTCCTGGACCCTGAAAAGCGCGATGTGCTGTCGGAAGCAGAGCTGAGGAGCATTGAGCCGTCGAAGTATGTCGAAGTTGTCACTCCAAAGTATCCCAAAGTTCTCTGGAGGCAGCGCTGCGGGACCTCGGAGCGCTCGACCCGTTGCAGCCTGACGGGCTCACGCCGCCTGTGCCCTGGAGATGTGCGGAGAGATGACATGGCGTGACACCTTGAGAGGGGCAGAGCGTCGCTGAACAGCCGAACTTTTCCAGGCTGGGTCGCCACTTGGCCGCCCTGCCGTGCCACCCCCGCCTGGGCAAGATCCTGGTGCTCGGCCAGGGGCTTAGGCTTGTGCACGGCAAAAGAAGCCATGAAAGGCCTAAATGCTCTCAGGCTGCCTGCTTGGCGAGTCCGGGCCTTGTTGAGATTGGGATGTGGGCATGTGCCGCCTTTTGGCTCGCCTGCCAAGGCCCAGCCCCTGTTTGAGCATCTGCGCTGCCGCTTGGCACTGCATTCCAGTCAGATTCAGGATGTATACAGTGAGTATACGCTGGATGTACAGGATCACCTGACCTGTCTTCTGACGTTTGCCCAGTGTCGCCTGGATCCCCTGCGCATCCTGCCTAAGCAAGGCCATGTCCGTGCGAAATCCAATGATGACGACGCAGGAAGGGCTTGCCTGCTTGACAGTCAACTGCTTCAGCATGCTGCACCACTCCTTGCCGCAACGACACAATCTGGAACTGGGTCCCTTTGGCCACCAGGGTGAGCGCATGTGATCGACGAAGCTTTCTGCTGTTTGCCAGACCTGGTGAGACGATTTTCGGAGGACACAAGCAAGCGGGCAAGCTGGCAGAGTGCAAGGCGCGTGCCCAGAGGTGACTATACTTTGTCATCTCATCAGCTTTATCACCGTGATTCTGCAGAGCATTCGTCCTTGCATTCAAAACTGGAGCCTGAAGCTTGCGGAGTCACACCCGGGCAGGATGGAGATGGTGGCCGAGATCGGCACCCGAAGTGACCACTGCGCGCCGGGATCCCACGTGCAAAAAAATGGCATATGTCTCGGATGTTCTGAGTAGCTGTCAGGTGGGCTCACATCGTGCAAGAGTGGCGGTTTGGTGACATGAAGCAGCACGGGACTCGGATCTCCTTGAGATGGCAAAAGCAGAAGTGCGAGATGCGAGAGCAGAAGAGCAGCTGCTGCAGCTTGACCGTGCCAGGCGCGAGCTTTGCAAGAAGCTGGGCTTGTCCTTCGAGCGAATGGCCTCATCCATGTTCGTCCGGCGCCCAGGAAGGGATAGTTCACACAGTCCACCCAGTTCACATAATCACACAGAGGAGGAGGAAGAGGAAGAGGAAGAGGAAGAGGAGGAGGAAGAGGAAGAGGAAGAGGAAGAGGAGGAGGAGGAGGAGGTGGAGGAGGCAGAGGAGGCGGAGGAGGAAGAGGAAGAGGAAGAGGAAGAGACATGAGAGACTTCACATCAAGGAAGAGAGACAGACAGTCGGGAGATCCAGAGGGGGGCCCTCTTTCCGTCTTCCGCTGTGCAGCAGAAGAGTCGGGATCTCCAGCACCGAGGAACGCCGGCATCTGCTCGAGTCCTTGGCCGGGATGCCACAGAGTCTCAGTCAGAGGGCGCAAGAAGAGGATTGATAGTAGCATTATCAATAGCAACAATGTTAAATATCAATAGCATTAATCATAACATGAACAAAATATTTGTATGAATGATTCAGAGGGCGCAAGAAGAGGGCGGAAGAAGAAGGGATGGCTCCTATGCTGGGGTGTCGCTAATTAAGTTAAGCAACTCCCAGGTCCAGGTGGGGCTTCTTCCTGGGAACTTCAAGGACTTGGAGTGGGAGCAGAAGAACAAGGCGGGTTTGGCGGCTATGATTACAGAGAGAACAGGTCATAGCAGTGATATAGTTCTGATACATAATAGAACCCAGCCATTTTGACAGCGCCAAGCAGTGTTGCGAGTGCTACCAGGTTCCAAACTGGAATCTCGTCCGCGCCGCGGTGGTCGCTTGGCACCTCCTTTTCACCCCGTCCTCAAGACCGGGTCGACTCGATTGAGTGTTTCGATGCAGCTGTGCTGCGTCGTTGAGTGGCTGGAGATGTTAGCGTCCGTCGCAATCTGTCACTGCTACTACATTCTGTCTGAGGGTTGTTGCCGAGGTGGGGGGCCTATACCCCAACATCATCCACGTCTCGCGGCAGATGCCGAAGCCAGGGTCCTGAAAGATCTCACGCGGAGAAGAGCGCCCAGGAGCTGGGTTCGTGCTCGGCTCGTACAGGTTCCAGAGCTCCACCATGATGGACAAGGCCAAGTACCTCACCTACCAGGTGCTACAGAGGCTGGGCTGCTCAATTCATGGGCCAAGCCAGTGAGTCTCTGGACTTTAGCTGAGGCACGTGAAGATGGAGCAGCAATCCTATCCGAAACGCCTCAACTTGCACCCCAACTCACTGATGTTTGGCCACGACCAGCAGCAAACTCAGAGGGAAGCGGCTGGAACTGCAGTTTTCTTGCAAGCAGTTCATGTCGGAAGGATGACAGTGTAGTCTTGGGTTCAGAACAAGATCTGACGCAAGGTTTCATTGCCCTTGGCTGGCCTACTACACCATTCAGCCGGCAGCTGAGGTAGACTCAATAGACGGACATTCTCAGCGCTGCCACAGTGGTCCAGGTTATGAACTTCACGAGTGCTCGAGCACTTTGCACTCTACGTACTCAGTGGGCATCCCCGTGGAGGATTCCACAGGCCACAAGACGGACATCGAAACCCGGCGCGTCAAAATGCGTCAAAGCCCCGACAACATGGGAATTCGAGCCATCGCAGCCCAGCCTCCCCGTCACAAACCACATTCGCAGGCACAACCCAAGTTGTTTGGTCATGCTTCCAAAAGAAGCCCGGACAACTTTGACATGAATTGTTGCTATACGCAAACTTTTGCGTAGAGGGGTCGGCGCAACTGGCTTTTCACTTTTCGCTTGGGTCCTGCTGCCCACAGAGAGAATCCCTATGTGTACGTACATCTTCGCAGGAAGGCAGCCCGGCAACCTACACATCGCGTAGTTTGGAGCAATCTTGTAGGGCCATCTTCGCAGGAAGGCAGCCCGGCAACCTACACATCGCGTAGTTTGGAGCAATCTTGTAGGGCTGCCAACATGCAGGAAGCCCCTCCGCTTCATTGCATACTCTGTGTCCTCAGAATACAACTGTGAAGCGCTGCGTTGCAAATGCTTGGAGGCTTGCAGGCGAGTGAAAGACGTTGCTTCGCGTGCTCCTTTGCGAGCCATGTGCTTTTTCAGTGTGCTTCGTGCAATAAGGCAGACCAGCAAGCTGTACGCCTATGACGTCTCGGAGGCTAGTGTGGTGGCTGTCAAGGATCCTGCGCGTCACCTTCAAACGACCCTATGATACCCGTCCATCTTGGTACTTGGTAGCTTCTGTTCCTCGGTTCCTCTGTTCCTCTGTTCCTCTGAGACTCGGAGACTCGGAGGTGAGCCCCTTTGCCTTGCTCCTCTTTGGCGGCGAGCCCGTGTTCAACCATGGTCAAATCGAGGTGGGCTTTGTGATCTGATGTACTTTCGACTCCTGGCCTGCTACCCTCTGCAACCCTTTGCTCATTCAGATGGTTCCCGCTACCGTCTTCGAGCCTTGCTGGAGGTGGGCGGCTGGGCCACCTTCAAGTGCAAGGGCGGCAAGCAGCTCGTGCCACTCTTGAAGGCCGATGGTGGCCGATGCAGCAGAATGCTCTCTTTGGATCACGGGCTTCATCGAAGAAAGCGCTCCATGCACAAATCATGCACAGGGATGCTGTCTGACTCCTTGTGAGGCTGCCCGGTCAGCCATCCAGGAGGTCCTGGAGAGGAAGCTGGAGGACGGCCTTGGTTCGGTTGCAAGGGGCACAGGCTCCAGACAGTTTCGAGAGCAACCGAGGACTTGAAGTTCGATTTGAGCAGCTCGAAGGACTGGGGCCTTTGTGACATTTGTGGGCCTGCAGCCTTGACTTGAGGGGAGGGACCCAAGGCGCTGAACCCTGAAACCTGCTAAACCTTCAGAAGCACAGACTTTCCGAATTCCTTAACGATAGGAGCTGCGTGCTTGCATCGAGCTGCTCAAGTGCAACGGCTTAGGCTTCCGCTGTGCTTTGATAGCTGATCTGTCATTTGAGTCATCTGTCGCGTGTGAGTTTCGGTGACATGTACCAAATGTCATGTCGCATGTCACATGCCCTATGTTATCTTATTACATCTTCACCCTTTTTCTTTTCGTTATCTTGATCTTCGTCTTTCCTTAGCTTGCTTAACTTATCTTTGTGTTTGAGACAAGGGGGGGTGGTGAAGGTATAGCATGAGAGAAGAGTAAGACACCCGGGAAAGAAGTGTTTAGAGAGCAAGTGGACCCTACAGGCAACTTAGAACTGTTCTTTCGGTTGAGCCCCGTTATCATAAGCGCATTGCCTGCTCCTGCAAGGCCTTCTGAAGTAGTGAAAATTGTGCAGGCACGCCGGGGGAGGCTGAACAAACGTGGCCTCCCCACGCCCAGTAAAAAAAGAAGAGATGGAGACAGACCAAGCTTTGAGCGAGAAAGAGAAAGAGACGGAGAAGAGAGACAGGGGGGGTCGGATGCACACACACGATCACACATGCACGTTCAAGGTCCTCACACACGGCTTCCATTAGCCGGTATCAGCAAGCGGCAGAGAGGTGTGAGTCATTCCACGGTGTAAGGGCCCCAACTTCGTATTTGATGACGATAATCAGACCATGATTGGTGTGGTGCGTACGGGCAAGAACCCTACCATGTGCCAGTTGGAATGCACGCAGGGCATCAGCGTGGCGTGTATGCATGAGGTGTGCCAAGAGGGATTTGTATCGTTCGCGTAGGAAATGACGGCCAACGAAAGGCGTTGACACACCAAGTCCTTGAGAAGGACGCCGTGCCATGGAACCACGAGTGCTCATCAACATCTGCCTGAGACGCTGTCTTCTGTACAAGTTGGATATGATGCGTGGCACACATCAGCAGTCTTCCCGGACGAGAAAGGTCAGCAGCACTGTGCGCCTCAGGTGCACCTTCAATACCCTGACATATCAAGTCTGCAATTTCATGTTTTTTGGCATGCCACTGCGAAGCACTCGGCGTTGCAGGGGCGCGTGCGCGACAAACGCTTCCAAAGCTCGAGATGTCAAGCCACAAACGGAAAACACACAAGACGTGATCGGAATTCTGTTTCGTGAGGCAGTCTGTGGCACTTCCAGCTATGCGCCTCTTTCAACTTGCACGGTGAATCCCCCTAGTTTGTCGCCACCCAGCTTGCGATTTTTCGCAATGTGCAGAGTTTCCGTGAGGGCGAAACCCCTGATTTGCCTACCCTTGGACAAGTGCAAAGGGTCTCACGGAGGAACCTTGCGTCTTGGGGTATTGACATTTTTCTGAAGCAGTTTTAGAACGTTTAGTTTCAATATGAGTGGACATGAGAACCGAGAGGTGTTCACAAACATGTACAAAAACAAACAATTCAAAGCTGCCCGCTCGGAGCCCTGCAGGCTTCCGCACGAAGGACCCCGCCGACATCGTGCGCTGCGGCGATGGGCAGGAGGGCTGCCGCTGCGGCCTCCTGAGTTTAAAGGGGCAACCGTTGCTTGGGGCCAGGACCGTGACTTTAACGAGTTCGAGAATGAGACAGCTTACATGACGCGGAAGGACAACTTGGGGGATCGCCTTGCTGATGTCCTTCTGATTCAACTGACTGTGTCTGGATTCCAACCGCGGCGTCGGAAGTGCGAGTTGCTTCGGAGGATGATGAGCACCAGGAGCGCATGAACCAAGTGTGGCAAGGAACTTAGCATGTGCCAATTATTGCTCATTTCCATAGCCGGAATGCATGTCTGCCCAAGTCCGCGCGCCCGTGCGCTTCACCATGTCTCGACATGTGCCGTTTGTTCGCCATTGGGCTTGACAGGGCCGACGCGAAGAAGCTGGCGGAGCCGTAGCAGCAGAAAAAAGTGCGTCTCAGCATGTTGTGCAATGTGCGTTTTTTCGGGAGAGTGTCGGGGATGAAGCGATGACTTTGCTGGGCCCTTTTTCATCTTTGCAGATCGCGGAGCAAGCCGCCCGGGCCGCGAGTCCACGCCGCTCCGCTCTTCGCAATGGCACCTTCTGAAGATGTCGAGGCCTTGCACTCCGAGTCCGAGGAAACGATCGAAGAAACCAATGCCGCTCCTCCTGCCTCCCGTGGCTGGGTGAAGAAGGCCGCGTTGGCGTTGACTCTGGGTCTCTTCGTGGGGCTCCTGGCCATGGGCGCACACTCGCAGAACTTCACGGTCTTCCAGGGCAAGTCTTCCGCAAGCTTGGACACAGAGATGTTGGCCGAGAAGCCGCCAAAGAGGCCGCCTTATCCGTACAAGGCTTGGATTATGGACACACTCCAAAACCTCAAGAAGACGCACCCCAAGGTCAGCATCATGGGTCGCATGAGGATGATGCTCGGCGCCCACATGAAGACTCCAAGCGAAGACCAAATGAAGAAGCTCTACTTCGGGGCCATGAAGACGAAGTTCCGAAGCCTCCCCGATGAAGACCAACGCCCTTACAAGCTGAACTACGTGAAGAAGAGGGATGCGTACCTTGTGGCAAAGGAGGAGGGCGAGAAACTGCCAAGAAAGCCGGTCTATCCTTATGTCAAGTACGCCTTTGACAAACTCGGCGAGTACAAGAAGAAGTACCCAAAATCTCGCCTTCCTAAGGCAGCGGTCATGAAAAGGGTGTTCGTCAAGAACATGGACTCTTCCAAAGTGGGGCCGGCTCTCTACACAGCCGTTGGAAGCAAGTTCAAGAGCGGCACCTTCGACAAGAAGATTTCAGCTCAGTACAAGAAAGAATACGATCAGAAGTTGGAGATCTACAAGAAGAAGAAGGCGGAGTACGATGCCAAGAACGCCTAGTAGCACATGGTGGCGCCAGCCACCAGCCTGGCACCAGCCACCCGCCCCTTCACCAGCAGGAGTCGGTCTGAACTTACACCTACGATTTCTCAAGGTCTGCTGGCCAACTCCGCTGCTGTGGACATCTGTTCCTCGGCAGAACAGGTAGCGATGCCTGCGCTGTCTGCTGACTTCCTTGTTAGACGTTTCAAGCTGTGTGAGCTGCGAGAGAAAACTTGAGTCAACAGATTCTCGCGTTCAACTGTTCTCGTTCTTGCTGATGTGACGATACGTGCTGTGGAGCCAATCGGGCTTCATTGTAGACCTCTCCGCAGCCAAGCTTAAGCCTCTCTGTCTTCTTTCAACTCCATTCACGGGCCCTGAGCCAGAGCCTCAAAGTCTCAGAGAGAGTTTTCTCCTTTTCTCCTCTTTCGCGTTTTTGTGCCCTCTCGCCCAGGCCGGCAGGATGCCCCGGAGGCCTTTTGAGAGTCTTCGCAGAGTGTTCACCGAGTGTTGTGCTCTGTACATGTAACAGACAGACTGGATAGCCAACTATTTAACACACATGCAACGACATGCAACAGCAGAGTCTCTTGGAACCAAAGAGCTACCGGCGTTTTTGGGAGGCTCCTGCACCCGGCATGGGCGCTCCTGGTGCTGGTCGCTGCCGAGGCGCGCTCGCAGAGAAGCAGAGAGGCAGAGAGCACAAGGGTCAGAAAAGGAGACACCGGCGACAAGGATAAGACAACGGTGAAACAACGGTCAGAACCGAGAGATTTGGAACAGTAGTTAAGTTCGATGTGTCATGTTTTCTTTGCTTTTCTGGGAGAGATTTGCGGTTGATCAAGCCGCTTCAGGCTCACTCTTCCGCTGGCTCCGTCTTGCCGCATCACAGCCACACTGCGCACAGCACCGCGGACGCAGCAAAATGCAGTCGGAGGGAGGCGTTTTGGTGTCTTGGTGTAGCTTTGCTAGGCATGTTGTGGATGCCACTTCCAGACATGTTGTACGAACTGAGGCAGAAGCACGCCGCAGGCCAAGGCCTGGGTGGATGACGGCTTGTGACACACGTGGTACACGTGGCTCTGCAAGCCATGGCCCTCATATTCCTCAGCAGGCCTGGCACCATGAGCGGCAAACTGCAATTCCCAAGGCCTTCGAGCTTGGTTTGGTTGTCACAGCTAGCGAGCATGTCTCCGGACCTAGCAGGCTCCAGAGCACAAGGCAGTTCTTCTCGAGCAGACGCAGCACGAGTCGAGCAAGAGTGGTGTTGCCAGTAGCGGCGGGCCTGGAAGTCATGGCATGATGCTTGTGGGGGTGTTCCAAGCTAGACTCACCTTTTCCTCACAAAATCTCTCCTATACCAGAACCCCCCAAACGAGGTCAGAATAGATCTATTCTCGAACACCCCCTCCCCCCCCCTCCTTGTCCTATTCGGTCTATGATCCTCCTGAGCCGAGGCGGTAGCACGGTGAACACTCCGATGTGTCGACCCAATGCCGAGATCTTTCAGCAGGTAGTTGCAAACAGCAATAGGCCGGAGTATTTTCTTTCAGAATCGCCCAGGGATAGCAATGAAATGCCTGGGCATCTTTGTTAGGCGCATCTTCTTCAAGGAGGAGGACGCCGTGCCGGAACGAATATTTGGAATTCCTGAAGACTCCCGTGCCACGGCGAGCATTGGGACCGCAGACAGCAATGGCTGCCCACTATACTGTACAGTATTTAATTTACAGCGTGGAGGTGTAGAATAAATATCTCATGTGTTTTTGCAACATCATGTAAAGTGCTTTCCGACATGTTCTGTCCTTAGTTGCAACCAAGTTCCTCGCGCTTGCGCAGAGCTTGTCAAGGGGCCACAGTGCTGCACAAAGATGTGACTTTGACAGCAGAGAAGCTCCGCGAGTTAGGCCTCTCATGCCGCTTGGGGGTGGGGAATACGTGCGCAACCCTTCTTTGCAGTTTTCATACCGTTCATGAAGGAGCTCGGGCCTTGAGCCGTGCGTAGATTCCGGAACCCAAACAGGTGAACATCCCTAGGCAGGCTTTGAACTCGGGCTAAGCCGATGCTGCCAGCAATCTGCCAGCCAGCCCAGGTGGTACGAGCGCCTGCATGAAACGACTGGGCGCACCAAGAAGGAGGGTCTGGGAGACTGGGGTTCAGGCCCTGCATGGCCATACTACGACTGGCGTAGCCTTCTGATGCTTCCGGACACGAGGAGTTTGAGTACGTCAGAGACCAATACTTCCACTTCAAGGAGGACCCTTTGCCACTCACTCGGATGAGTGTTCCCCAAACGTCTGAACTTTTGGAACACGCGACGTCCCAAAGGCCCCGGTGAAACACCTGACCGGGTTTTCCCCGAGATCCCAGTCAAATACTCGACGGGGCTTCCTTCTTGGATGGTTTTCAGAAAGTTTTGTAATGTTTCCCGTGTCGCCGTTGCCGGCTTTGGTGGGAGACAAGCCTGTGTTGCACGTGTAACCGAAAGGCTCCAATCATGTGCTTTAGGGGCTTCTCAAAGTTGGGACCCCATCATAGTGTGGAGGCAGAAGCAGGAAGGTTTTTGGCATCCTTGTACGCAGGTCGCAGCGCTAACTGAAAAAAAAAGTATTTTAGGCGTGCGGGGCGGTGTGTGCACAACACCTTCAGGTTTGGAATTTGGAAGTAGATCAAAGCATGGTAGGGAATGATCCTGAAGCGCCGCATGAGCCGGACTTATTTCTGGTTTTCGCGCCGGGAAGGACACAATTGCCCCAGCCTTGAAGGCAGGCACGGTGAAGGATCCGTTGCTGCAGCCGACACTCTGCTTCTTGGTGGCGTGTGTAGGCGGCAAAAGCAGGGTCGCCAGAAGTGGTGGAGAGACTGGAATCTGCGCCGGGCTGAGTCGGCGGAGGTATTGGAGGTCAACTCCTCACCTGTGCCCCAAATCAAAGCCATTGAGCAGCGAAACTCCGCCTCCAGGCAGCGAAGGTAGCGAAGCAAGGCCGGAGAGCTTCTCTCTGCCCCACAAGGGTAGTGACTCAGAGTGGAAGGGTGCTCGTTGTTCAGCTGGATCTGAATCCGTGCAGGCATAGACCGCGTTCTAGACTTCATCGACCTGTGTGAAGATCCGTGTCCTGGCGATTGTCGGAACCGCATGCCTTCTTTGTAGCAGCTCGTGTGTTCCTGCTACCGATATCTACCGATCCGATCTTCCACATTTTCCGTTTCTGAAGGGCTTTTGCTGGACTGCGTCTTCACACGGCGTAGACCCATTGAATCAGAAGCAGTTTGTTGGGATCCGTTGGTTCATGAAGGAGATCTCGGAGTTCTTGCTTGAGAAAAGGTCGCGATGTTTCTCAGTCTATCACACCCGAAAGTGTGATGCTTCCCTCAAACAGCCCACACTAGGTCGAACCTGCTGATGATCCCGAAGCCTTCCAACCCGAAGAGCAAACTGGGGGGGCCCAGGCTTCGCCTCTTCTTCGCATCGACCGCGTGTGATCCGGCTGAGAGTGGTAGGGAAGGGTAGGAAGCATTCTTTGGGCTTCAGAAGTTCAGGACACCAGCATTCGTACATCACTGCGATCAATTGGTTGAATGGGTTACAGAGGAGCTGGTCGAAGGCCAAAGGCAGTTCGTCAGCCGACCGAGTAGCGAGTGTCGCCCAGGCGCACTCTGTACTCCCGGCTTGGACAAGAACCTCACTGAGGAGCAGATCTTGCACGTGAGTTCGATCCCAAGAGTGTGAGACGTGTGAGACGTGTAGCCGACATATAATCCTTATGCACCACGTGGGCCCAAACAAAAACCGCTCACTGAACTTTCGGAAGTGCTGTGAGGCAAGGACAGCCTGGAACCGTTGGCGAAGGATTGCTCAGCGATGCCGACCGGCGTGGTATGGAGTTCAGAGCGCAGGAAACATTCTGGACTTCAGTTCTAACCCTCACAAGGACTAATTGCTGAAGAGGAGGGGATGTGTAGAGATGCCCATGCCATGCTGGGTACTTCGACCTACCAAGGCCCGACAAGCTGAGAGAGGCGGGAAAGTGTCCTGTCTGCATCTTTGCTAGTTCCCATCTTTGCAGCAGAGGCCTGGGATCACAGCTCAGATGCCCCAGAGTTACCCTAGTGCCATATCCCTCTTGGGAATCATTTTTGTTTGTATAACACCCAAGAGGATATTGACAATACTATGTTTATTCAGGTTCTAAGGGGAGTATAGAGTGTTCCTATCCTCAGGTCTTTCATTCAGGCCCACGCAATCCTGACAGAGGGCAACACCTGCGAGGCCAATTGCCTTCGAAAAAGTTCTTGTTTTTCTGATGCAAGCACTGGGACTTTTTCCAGAGAACTGTGTGGCGTTGGGAGGAGCGATGGTACGTGCATGCCCAGAGCTGGCTCGATCGCGTGCTCTGGCCGCAGTTAGGTGCGGAAGCCATCCGCTCCCCGCCCCACCTCCCCCACCCGTCCTTAATGTCAGGGATGCCAAGCAGGCCAAGCACGCCGTTTCTCCCCAAGAAGAGTGGTGCTCTGAGGCTGCAAAGCTTACGCTACTGCGATCCAAAGACATTCGGCCCAAGTATGTCAAGAGCACGTTCCAGAAGGCTCGGACCTCAGCTCTTTCAGCCTGATGCCTCCTGACTACGGCCGACTTTCGCTATGAAGACTCGAGGCTTACGATTTCAGCTTTAAAAAGTCTTTCCGAACCAGAGTGGACATGCTGCCCCCAAGAATTTGGCCTATAATTGGACGAGACCCCGAGATATCAGGGGCCGTGCTCAGACGCTGGTCTGAACTAGCCACCAAAGCTTGTAATGGAATTCCGTATAGATTCAGTACGTGCCTGGAAGGTTGCAGCTTCCGGCAATGCTGATAGCTGTCAGTCACACCCATAGTCCCCATCCCAAGTTGACGAGCTGTATAATAGGACTTCCAAACGAAAGTGCGTAAATGGGACCCTATTTGTGACCGCTGCGGTTCGACAGTCTCGGCCGCTAGGAGTCGAGAGCTTAAGGGCTTTTCGGCGTGGGGCTGTTTGAGTGCAGGTGGCTGGCCTAAAAATCCCGTTGATTGTTTGGGGAGTATCACCTGTGGAAATCTGTGCAGGCGAGGGGTCCCCCAGTGGATCCCTAGAAAGTTTCAAGGGGCTTTCAGGGGTGGGTGGATGAAGAGGACTTTCGTGCCCTGCCCTGGTCAAGGAACCCAACTCCCAGCAAATGTTTCGAACATGGGCTTCGGGTGGAGAGACCAAGGTTTTTCCTCAGAAGCAAGTCCATCGTGGCACCCACAACAGCCTCCTTTCCATCACCTGCCATGGGGCACGAGTTGAGTTGAGGCAATCGCTGCGGAGGGCTTTGTGTACCGGCCGGAGCAATGGGGGGATGCCCTCCTGCTTCTTGGATCTGGTGGAGTGCCCCAATTTTGTTCGCAACCTTTCCATGTTGCACTGGCTTTTTTAATAAATAGGACAAGCCCCCCCTCCCCGCAAATCTGGGACCGCGGCAAACTTCATTTCCATTCTTCGAGGCGGCACCCTGAAGCGTTGCGCTTAGATTAGAATCCGAACTGGTGACGAAGCTAAGTTGAACCAGTGGCTGCAGACGCGTGCGATGATCCATTTCTCCCAAAACGCGAAGACAAACACATCCCGGCATTGCCGACAGTACAGGCCCAACCTGGCACACCATCTGCGGTGGTAATGCCGCAATGGCTTTCCTTAAGCTGTAATGTCTGGGACCCAAAATAAAGAAATGCCCCAGCAAATTTAGATGTTGGAGGGCCTGAGCTGCAGCCAAGGCGTTAAGGCCTGAAACCTTTGGGCTGAAGCCATGGCCCTTCATCCCTGAAGCTTCCAGGGCCTTAAGGCGCTTTAAGGCCTGGAATGTAAGAATTCTCCAACAAACCTTATGATTATGGCGAGTGCCCAAACAAATCTGCTAAAGCGACTCGGGCTGGCCCGTGGGTTCCCTATCACAAAAGTTGTCGTAAGGTTTAGATGGAAGTGGAGGGGCTTAGCTTCCTGGATTGGGGAAGCAAGATTCCTGGAGCCCAACAAACCTTAAGGCTTGAAACCTTTAGACCACAGAACCCCGAAAGCAAAAATGTGATTATAGCGGGTGACCCCAACAAATTGAGTTCGAGGAATAACGTTCAAAGCTTGCGACTATAGACCCCAGCTTCACAAAAGCCAGTGCAACATTAGAAGTTTGTTTTTTTTTGGTATTTCTTGGGATTTTCCAATGTCTGGTCACTAGAAACTGGGGTCTCATCTCCAAGCCCAGGCTCCATATCTCCGTCCTCGCCACAGGCTGGGTCTGCTGAAACATAAAAGCCGCCGGTTCGTCGCAATGGGGGTTGAGCCAAATCTGACACGAGGTAGGTGTTTATTCCCCCACATCACCATGCGGGGTTTAGGTTTCAAGCTCCTGTCCTGGCCGCACCCTGCCCTGCCACGCTCCGCCGTGCCCCGCCTTGCCCCCTCACCACCGCCCGCCGACGATGTCAGCTCCGTCTTGCTGGTCACTCTGCTTGCCTTTCTGACCACCGCCACACCCGCCTTCGCGCAAAAAAGTAAACATGTAGGGATCTCCGGTCCTTTCATTTTTGCTTTTGGTGAGTGTAAAATAAGTATTGGTGAGTGTACATATGGGGGTGTCCTTGTGTGGATGCTGGTATTGAAGACCCTACTGCAACATGTGGAGTGTGGAAAGCCAGCTGCCTTCAGCAACTCTGTCAGCATCTTTCAGCACCAGCATCTCCCTGTCACATCACTCCACCCAAGCGTCAACTCCCGCACTTGTCTCAGAAGAAGAGAGGGAGACCTTCGTGCCTCAAGACGAGCTGCGGTACTTTGTGCCACAGGCGCGGTTTTGATCGAGAGTTGGCAGATTTTTCTGGGCAGTCAGGTCTTAAGAGCGGTTTGAAGGTGCGACAGTGAACCTGCAGGAAGGCAAAATGGCCAACCTTCGCGAGAAGGCGCAGACCATTTTGGACGAATTTGCAGACGAGGGAGTCATGGTTGCACAATGGACAGCATTTTTTTCCACACGTGGACAGAGCAAAGTCTCATGCAGATGTCAACCGTGGCTTGGCCCAGGCTCAGCGGACGACGGCTCTGCAACGAACACACAAGTTAATGGCAATCAAGCCGGCAACAATACTGACAACAATGCTAACTCACTGTCTCAGCTCGGGGAGAGGACTGAGGAGGCTGGGATGATGGTAGCAGACTTAGCATGTCCTAAGATGTCGAGTACGTATCCTAAGTCTCGTAGACGACGACTGTCGTCGGACACCGGGCACCGTGCTCCGAGTCTGCCGAGTGTGCCGAGCAGGTGGAGCTGGAATGCGTGCATGGCCGCATGGCGAGCAAACAGCGGGTGCATGCGGGTGCCATAGGTGTGCTCGTACACTCTAGATTCGGAAGTTCCGCGGCCCAAGGCCGAAAGATGCGCTATCACTGCCAGTGCGACCACTGCTGGACGGGTGTCAACTGTGACAAGAAGATGGCCGAGGGTCCCGCACGCAACCAGGACACTGGTTTTGGAGAGGTTTGGAGTTGTACGCTGGGGTCCGACTTCTTGGGACTCAAGTAGGACCATGAACATGCATCAGCTTTGAAAGGTCCCCGGCCTGTCGGAACTGCTCACAGCTGCTCACATCCCAGCCACCTGAGTCAGGAAACCTAGCTCCGTGGACCTTTGCGGCAGTGTTTGTTTACAACCTCCCGCTGAGCCTATGATCGAGCCCTGAGCATCGCCCGACGAAGTTTCCCGGACACAGCCTTCTTGTCTTGACCCCTCCCTCGAGGGGGTCCGCCTCTCCCCCCGACCTCGGACCATCGACAGCTTGTGTCAACATGCTGCAACCCAGGAAGTGAAATCCAACGAGTAAGTCAATTCTGCCAGGCTATCTAAGCCTCCGGTTTGCAACTCCCCCAAAGTTTGCCTCTCATTCGGGGGGCCATAGCTTTCGCTCGCCCTGCTCTCAAGTCACCCTAAGCCCAGCCTCCGGCAGCCTGAGCTTCCGGCAGCTCTTCCGGAGGATTTCGAGCCCCTGGTGGCCCAGGTTGAGGCTGGAGCCCACCAGGTGGGGGTTTTCAGAGCTTCGGTGGCTTCAGTGACGTTTAGTGACCTTAGTGGCTGATCTGGTGCCAACGCTCAGGGGCTGGCTTTGCAGGGCTGTGGCTTGGCTGCAGTTCGGGAGATTCGGGTTTGCATTGCATGCGCTGCAGCCTCTGTTGAGGTCAGCTGCACACGGATCTCCGGCACCAGCCGCTTGGCACGAAGAGATGCAGATCGCGACATCTGTAGGGCCGGGCGGGTGTGGCGGTATGGGCTGGTTCAGGTTGGCGCACATCACCTTGATCCAGATACCCGAAGCTGCAGAGGCCGCGAAAACGGTAGGTGAACACGGTTCAAAGCATACTGTTCCTCATTCCTCCCGACCTTGACGACATCTTTGGAGGCTCAACGGTGAAGTCAAGAGGGTTGCTGTTGCCTTGCTGACCCTGAATTGAATATCAGTCACTTTGGGGGCTGCTGCTGCTGCTGCTACTGAGCTGCTACAAGTCCTGCAGGACGCCTCTCCCTGAAGTTTGCAAACTCGTAGGGACAGGGTTCTTCACCTCTAAGAGGTGCCATGTCTGCGTCTCGCCTTCCGAGCGAAACCTGGTGGGATGCGGCGAGATTGCCTCTTGGGATCGTGATTGGCCTCAGGATGCTGGTGACTCTGCCTATCCCGTACCTTCTGATGGTGGGCAGTGCCCGCTTGGTGACCTCTGAGTGGTTCCTGCACTTGGAGTATTCTCGCCCTGGATTCCCGGAAGATCGCTACGGCATGAGCCGCGCCAACCGGCTGGAGCATGGGGTCCATTGCATCCGCTTCATGACCAGCGGCGCGGGGATTGGCTACCTAAGCAACCTCTCCTTGCCCTTCGACCTTTGCCAGGCACCTCGGCCCCAAACAGCACCTCCGACGCCTTGTCCTATGTTTTCCGAGCGAGAGCTCCTCCACATGCAAGATGTGCAGGCGGTCGCAGGGACGCTCTTTGCGATTTTCTGGGGCCTTGGGCTCTTGGTGGCGTTCAGTGGAAGCCTCCTGTTTCTCGTCGACTCCCAGGCGTTGCGATTGGCGCTCCGGCGCGGGAGCCAGATGACTTTGGTCCTGATCGGGGCCGTTTCACTTTCTGCAGTGCTGGCATTCAAAAGACTTTTCCGTCTCTTTCACGAGCTCTTCTTCAAAGGGGGATCCTGGCTTTTCAAGACGTCAGACACGCTGATTCGCTTGTATCCGTCGCAGTTCTGGCTGGACGCAACGCTGGCCATATCCTGCTTCACGATCTTCGGGACACTCAGCATCCTGCGCATTTCACGACTTCCTGTTCGCAAGGAGAAGGTTGAAGATGTTGAGGACGTCGTCTGACACTAAGTGACACAAACGGCTCTGAAAATGGCAGTGCTGCGCCGTTCCAGAAGTCCCCTCACAGCGGGCTCACAGCGGGCTCACAGCGGGCTACACAGCCGTCCACGTCTACCAGGAGATCAAATGCTACGGGGCGACCTCACATCTCATTCACCACTGTCACGCAGGTCGCGCCCACTTGCCACCGTCGACTAGGGCCTCTGACTGCGTACCACAACATGAAGTAAAGTTTAGTGTTGCCGCGGCTTGTCTGGATGTCGATGGGGAGCGGGTGATTTCCCCCCAACTTACTCGCAACGTGAGTGGTGGCTTGGCCCGAACATGGCTGGAAGCTGCGGAGTTGGCCGAAGGATTGAAAGAAAGAACTCCGAGACTGTTTAACTCAAATGTCACCCTTTAGCGCTGACCTCAACCTCGGCTGCACAGGGAAGGTCGAAGCCGGAGGATCTGTGCAAGAAGCCGCTCAAAGAAGGCGGGGTTACGGGGGCTTAGGAGACTTCTTGCAATGTTGCAGAGCGTCGGCTTTGCAAGCTGCTCAGACTACAGCAACAGCTTGCGCCTGCAGATCCCAGAACTTGCACCTTGGCCGCAGCGATTCGAAAGGTTTTCGAAGCTCGGGCTTGTCAAGATTTGTCTCAAGTCTCAGGTTTCGCCCAGGGAGTATGTCTACCTGATCGACGAACCCATTGGCACGGCCCCTACGGCCCTGGCGGCCCTAGCGTCAGCGCGGATGATATTCGGACATCAGCGTGTAGGCGCCGGACGAAGAACTTGCCACTGCTTGCTCTCAGGTCAGGTGGCAAAGTATGAGGTGTGTCGCTTGACTGGCATTCCGAGATCAACTCTCACACGGTGCTGCAGATGAGGGTTCCGCACGGCTACGCTCAGGTTACTGCTATGGGGTGGACTGCATGGACACCCGAACCCTGCGACCGAACAATTGCACCAGCGCCGACTGCAACACTGGGGATGTCCTGCAGGGCTGGAAGACCCCCGAAAGCCTGCAGGGATGGTTCAGCGTGGGCCAGGTGGAGGCGCCTCTGCGTGCCGCCGCCTCCCCCCCTTTCTTGACTTTTTTGATTCTCGTATTCGTTTCTAGTTTTTTGTTTATATCAGAGACTGCTTCGAAGCTTCTGAAAATCCCTCAGGTGGTCAACACGAAGGAGGATCGTGACGCTATCGTCCGGAAGATGTTCGAGCTCCCGGTGGGCCCATAGGTAGTAGGAGCATTGTAGCATGGGAGACACTGTCCTAGGCCAAGGTCAGAATCGGTGCCTTCCGGCCTCACCTAGGGTGCTGTTGCTTTTCATCTTATTGAGTATGGTCCATGCTTGGCATGTTCCCTGTTCGGATGAGCCTGGTGCAGGCTTTGAAGGCTCGTCGCATTCGGGAGACTCCTCCCAAACTCTGTAGCACGGACTGGTACCTTCAGGACAATGACACGCCTCTTGCCCTCGTTGAGAGGAACGCATGTCTCGTGGTGTGTGCATAAAGGACCGGTGCGCCTCCGCGCAACTGAGCCAACTCAGGTTCTATTTTGTGCGGCGGCACAACACTGTCGTTTTCAAGTGCAATGATGGCTTCGCGAACTTGTTGCTTGCCTGAACAGCTGGTTTGGAGCGCGCCGCAGATTCCTAGAACCCACTCCCAGCATACCCAGGCCAACATGTTGAACATCGAAACCCCATGTCCCGACTCAGCAGCTTTCTTATCCATCTCCAGGTCAGGTACTGTCGGTCACTATGCTCATTTAGAGCAACTCCCATTGTCTTTCATATTTTACTCTCCAGGCCTTGCAGCGGAACGGCATGCGTTGCATGCACATTGTTTTGGGTTTTGGGCTTTAGGGTTTGGGGTTTGATTAGGCTTTCGGGATCAACGTGGCTTCATCTGGAGTGGCTGATCGGTCGATCGGCTGGTCCATCGCAGCACCTTTTCTTGGGACGAAGTTTTGTATGCACACCGGCGGGCTAAGCGAAGGCGCGCTAAACACGGACAACGTAGGTAGCTGCCTCAGTGAAGTGGGGGGGGGCATCATGCCATTTGCCTTCTGCAGGAAGGGCGTCGAGGAGCTACATTGCGATGATGGCCAGTGGAAGGTCTGATGATGCCGTCTGATAAAACCTATAAGAGAGGGTCCGAGGGATGGTCAGGGCATTCAAGAAGAGAAGAAAACCCCTGGGAGCAGGTGGCCAAGCACTCGGAGGACAACCCCATGGAAGAGAAGCTCTCGCCCCCGGACATGGCTGTCTGGGTGCCCTGGACTTGGCAGTCTTTGTGTTCTCTCCTCCCCTTCCCTCTCCCTCTCCTCCCTTTTTTCTCGTGCGCCAACTCTCTCTCTCTCCCTCCTCCCCCTTGCTCCTTCCATCCTCCTGGCTTCTTCCACGCGCTCCTTTGCCTTTGCGTGTCATGCTACTTACTGCATCTCAGATCTCAAGTTCCCTCTTCCCATCCTCTGCTTTGGTTGTTTCTCTCCTTCCCTCTCGATTTCTGTCCCTGTTCATCTGGCCTCCGATCATCCCGACCCAGACTCGACAGCACGTTTTCTGAGGAACCCGGCCAGTTTCCCGAGTGTTCCTGGGCCTTGGCCGACACCTGCAAAAGCGACGATCCCCTCAACGCACCTGAGCAACAAAGTGAGGGTCGGTGTATAGGGCTGCGGTTTTGGTGAGTCGCCTGAGTGGTGGTGAGAATGGTGCTGAACAGTCGCAAGATCGTCTCACTTGTTCCTGGCCTCGACTGTATCGGCGTGCAAATCCAAGGTTGTATCGAAGAGAAGCCTGTGCCTAAGTTTCTCTCAACATGAGTTCGGGCAGACATCTTCAACCCTCGAGGGATGCGGAAGATTGCAGAAGGGATCTGGTGCAACACAAGCTGAAGTCTGACGGACTGAGTTGCGCAGCTTGGGGTCTCGAGGCTGTGAGTGGTTTGAGACTCTGGTGTCGCATGTGACCTCTGGCAACGAGGCCCTCCTGTCATGAACGACTTCTCTGGGGACGGCTTGGTGCACTACCGGCCCGGAGCTCAATTGCGCAGCTTTTCACTGAAGCTTTAAGATGCACAAAAAACACGAAGCTCATTCAACTCAGAAGGCAGGCTTGACTCGAGGGGCTGGTCTTCGTGTTCCGCAGTAAAGATGGGAAACACCGTGGCCATGGCATCGATGACAATGCTACCCAAGCTTAGAAACGTCAACCAGCATGCATGACCAGAACGCGTACGATGTATACAATACATACCCCTACATACGTACATATGTGCATATATATATATATGTACGTATTATTCATGTACATGTACATTAATACAACAAGCAGTTGCTATCATCATTACTATTGCGATTACTATTGCTATTGCCATTGCTATTGCTATTGCTGTTGCTGAAAATACTAGCATCAAAAGTAAGGATATCTCTCTCTCCATATGTATATATTGCATTTCTGCATATATTAAAATAACAACATATATGTATGTATGTATGTGTTGTTGGGCGAGATTGTATTATACTATATTATCTTGTAGTAGTTAGTATATTATAGTATAGTATACAACAATATTTTGTCTTATAAATACACTATACTATATTTTGTTTTTTGTTATGTTATGTGTTATTATATGGTTTCTATTCTATTATAGTGTGATATGTTATCGTATATTATCTTATGCTATATCATATTATTCTATATTATCGTATTTTATTATATATGGATATATGACCTTTATGTGTTATTTGACGGGTTTGCTTCCCCTTGCGAAGATAATGTTGTATTCTGATCACTTATTTCACTTGAATGTTCAAGCATCATTGCAGATCCGAACCCGCGTTCATCCCCGGTGTTCACGTATCCAGGGCGAACTAGACTTGCCTGCTGCGGCCCTTTTGCAAATCGAACTTTTGAGCGTGGACAACCCCTTGGAGAAATGTTGGCAAAGTTTGCGGGCATTTTGCCCGAACCTTCAGATGATTGCTCTATCCCACACACACTTGGCCATGACTTTCGAGTACGCATCCCGTCGAAATAAGGACACCAGGTTCCAACACCCTAAAAGCCGTCTTGCAGAAGCTCACGGCAAGGCGACGCCTCTGCAAGTGCACGGCACTAGGAGCCCGCGCATACGGAGCGCAACACCAAGCCGTTCACCGAGAAATGCGCGAGTGAGAGGCAAGATCGAGGACCGATCCATGCGAAAGCCCGATGCTGAACAAGTACTCAACTCACTGGACGTGTGGAGAAGCCTTGTTTTTGTGGGCGGGGGTGAGTGGGTGGGTGGGTCGCAATTAATTGTCGCAATTAAGTGAGTACATAAATAAAAGAGACAGATATACATATATATATATATATATGTATACATGTATATATATATCTGTATATGTACGTGCGTGTAAATTTCTTTTTGCTCTTACAATGATCTGTGCTCTCCGTCCAAACTGACTCGTTATTGAACGCCCAGTCGACAACCAACCGCAGGCTACCTACATGACCAGTAGTTGACAATGCGGACATGTGTGGGCTCGGACAAGAGCTCTTAGGCGTTTTCGGGTTTGGGGTCCAAGCCCAATCTCTAGAAGTCCGAAGCCTGAAAACCCTAATCCTTTGTGAGGTGCGGCCTGATAAGTGGCAATCCGGCGCGTCTCGTGATCAAGGGTGCGACGGCGATCAAAAAAGGAGAAGAGGCATAAGCTTTCGCTGTTTTTTGGTTTGTGCAGGGCGCCCTCAATCCTGAAGTTCGCATCTCCGTTTCTTAGAACGGCAGTTTCAGACTATTTGAAAGTGTCAGTCGTTCCCCGCGGTGTGAACTGTGGGCAGGTCATCTACAACGGCAGGGAAGTTGGCCAAGTCGTTGGCCATGAGGGCCCGAAGTATCAGGCGCTCCCGTCGAACCCTTTTTTCAAGCACCTCAAGCCTGGAAAGCTACAAAGGCTGCACGCCGAGCTGATACGTGCCATCTCTGGAAGCCGAGCATAACAGCCCGAGACTGCCCGGGCCAAGAAAAGGAACCTGTAGACGCGTAGAAAAAGATAAAACGCCCTCGGATTAAGATGGGACTCCCGAGACTAGACACGGGAACCCGGCAGAACAAAACTCAAAGCCTTTTGCGAGACCTAAGTAGAAGCGAAGACAAGACTTTGATATGCGACCGGCACAACTTGCAGATAAAGCTGGTGGACAGTGGCAAGCAGCTGACCGTGCAGCCAGATCTCCTAGACTCCCAGCTCGAGGCTTTGTTTTTAGGCTTTGGGCATGAAAAGGGTTGAGTGGGTCTCACTCGTCACTCTGTAACCCTATAAGCCCTAAACTCCCAGACCTCCCTAAGCCCCAAAGCTTGGGATGTTCCCCCCTCATACCAACAGTCCTTCAAAAGGGCATGATAGTAGGGGGTACTAGAATCCCTGTAAAAAGGACTGTTCGTTTAAGGCGTAAACCCTCCCTGAGCCCCAAAGCCATCAGCTCTAAGGAGTGGCTGCCCCAAGCCACCAGCTTCGTCCGGCGGTGCGGCCCCGATAAGAAGTACGTCCCCGCCGACGTGGAGATCCGAGCCTGAGCTCGAAGTGCTCAGTTTGGGGTTTAGGGTTTAGGGTTTGGGGTTTAGGGTTTGGGGTTTAAGGTTTGGGGTTTAGGGTTTAGGGTTTTGGGGTTTAGGGGGTGGTGTCTTGTTCTGTTCTGAATCACGGTTCAACGGGTTTGGCATGGAGTGTAAGGCCTCAGGGGCAAGCCATATAGACATCCGTTGAAATGGGATTCTGTCGATACTTCAAGAGGATCCACCCTCCCCCCCCCCCACAACAAGGGACCCGAATTTAGAACAGCCCGCAAATCGAGCGCTAGAGAAGTGAAAGTACACTATGTCACACCCACGCTTTGTTCTGGCATGAGATTCTTCTACTGCAGGCTGCTTAGAGAACACTTGCGCTCCGCACTGTGGCTTCTTGCTGTTGTGTTGTAGTCGCAGTTCGAAAGCGCTGCTATCCGATGTACGGAGACCCCCTTGTGGTTCACTGGTCTATGTTGCTGCGCTGCTGGAGATCCCGAGGTTGCTTGCTGGTACTGCCTTCTGACGCTCCTGATTCTGTCTCCTCGGCTGCGGCAGGTCTTTAAGGGTGGTTAGAAACCCGTAGCCCTAAGCCCTCCAAGGCTTCAAGCTTGGCGATGAGGTTGTTTCAAGCCACTCTGCCCTTCCAGACGAGCCCCAAAGGCTGTTGGCGGCCCGCACCTGTCTTACAAGCCATCGCATGGTAGAGCCCGCCCCAGTGGTCTCTTGAAGTTGGCTCCTCAACCCTATAAAGCTCCAATTTTTCTACATGTAAAAGGGTTTAAGGGTTGAGGGTTTAAGGTTTTAGGGTGGAAGCCCTAAACCGCAACCCTCCTGGTTTCCGAGGTGGCGGGCGACTTTAGCTCGGCTGGCTTCGCAACCGAGCAGCAGGCGGCGAAGATGGCGTCGAAGGCCAAGGGGCAAGCGAAGCCACCTGCTGCTCCCGCGCCGCAAAAGGTGTGTCAGTAAAGGGGACCGGGCGGAGTGCGCATGATGACCAACCACTCATGCTATGAGGGGTGTTGGGCCCTGGCGCCAGTTTAGGGCGAGCTCAAGCGCTTGGAAGCCCTGAGCACGGCAATCCTGAAAAACAAAGAGGGACGCTAACCCTCAGGCTTCACTCCTGGAGCAAAGCAGTTCCTCGCTTCTGGAGGCTTCAGCTGAGTTGTACGGATTTGACGGGGGGGGGGGGGGAGTTCTTAGGGGGTTAACTTTTTCAGCGAATCGGTTTTCGAGGGCCTTAGCCCAGCGGAGCCCGCTGTTGCGCTTTGCCGAAGACCCAAGACCCAAGACAGGCTGCAATTGAGAGGCCCATCAGTTGAACAGATGACAGCGAGGAACATGTGGCAGGTGTTCTAGTTTAGAGTCACCCGAGAGACCCTTTCGTACTGCGAGCCCCCTTTTCGCACGGAGGGCGACAAAAGGGATCCAAAGCCAGAGAGTTGTGGCATGCACTCCAGGCCTCGGCAGCTGGTGCAAGCCACACCGGGGAGGCCGGGCCGATGAGATCACTTCTCGTGTTTTCGCACGCGGGGGCTGAAGCGCACCCCATTTTTTGGGGTTGTTCTTTATGAGCGGGTGGGTGGGCGGGGTGGGGCGGGGGCGGGGTGGGTGGGGGGTTGGGGTCGGGGGGTGGGGTGGGGTGGGGGTGGGATGGGGGGAGGGGGGGGGGAGGGGGCGGGGTTGGTTACGACCATGTTACTTTAACCATGCCCAAACACCTGGTATTTTCAGCATTTGTGCCTCCTTTTTGTAAGATGACGCAAGAGGATGTTTGACGTTGCTGGAACAAGACGCGCTGTCACAAGCCTTTCGTGAACATGTCCACAACACCGGAATGTTCAGCGTGTCTTTTTGCCTTGTATGAAGAACATGCTGCAGAAGAATGTTTGATGTTTCTTCAACCAGACGCGCTGGCGCAAGTGTTCATGCCTTTTGCAAGCTTGCCCAAAGCATTGCCACTCGCCGCATTTCTGCGTCTTTCTACAACATACTAAAACCTTCACCAACAGCCAGGTTAACCCCTCATATTGTTATTTGCCCTCAGCCCTAAATACTACAAAGCACTAAACATCCCTCAGTTCGAAGGTAACACCCCCACCCCCCACCAACAAAAAGCAGAAGAAACACCAAAAAGCAGCAGGGTGTGCAAAGCGCCGACCCTCAGGCTTCGCTGCAACGCAGCTCCTCGCTTCTGGAGGCTTCAGCGGAGTTATGGGGATTTGATGGGGGGGGGGGGGGGGGGTGTGGGGGTTTCAGCGATTGAGGGGGGGGGGGGAGGGGGAGCAAGCTTCTCGGCTTCAGATGTTGTCCTTTGGCTGTCTAGGCCCATTTGTGCATCAACCAGCGGATCGCTTTCGTGTTCTTTATTTTTAGAACTCAGAGCAACACCGTTATCGGCAGAGTCAGACCAGAGATGTGGGATTCACACCAGGCCTCAGCAGCTGGCGCAAGCCACTCTTGGGAGGCCCAGGCCTGTGGGTCGAGCCAGTCCTCAGACCTGTCCTGTGGAAGTCTGGGGTTTGGGATGAAAGCAGCTCTATTTGCGAGCGTGAAGCTACTTCACAGCGTTTATCTTGACAGGGTTGGTAGCGGGATGGTGCTTTGAGGCTTCGTGTTGAGGTCTTTCACCTTTGCATGCAGTGGATTGCAGTGGTTTCGTGAAGCCAGACTGTCGCCCGACTTGAAGCCTTGACGCAGGAGGCGGTTGATGCATCTCTGCAGCTGCAGCTGCAGCCATGGCCGGTGATGCTGTCTGAGGACGCAGGCGCAGGGGATCATGCAGAGCGGCGTGCGTCTGATCTGCGCCGCTTGAAACCACATGCAGAGGTATAGAGAAAGCTCAGGGGGACTGGGGGACCGGGGAAGCCCTAGAGACACTGGAGTGGGGAGCTCTCTCAGCTTTGAGGGGCTGGGTTGGATGCCCGGCAAAGTTATGGGATGGCGGTGGGCAGCATACTGGAGAGAGGGAGGGAGGGAGGGAAGGAGGGAGGGAGAGAGAGAGAGAGAGACAGAGATAGAGCTAGAGGAGGAAGAAGAAGCAGAAGCAAACGAGTATGGAGAGAAGTTTTCAGTGACAGAATGTAAGAAAGAGAGAGAGAGAGAGAGAGCGAGAGAGAGAGAGGTGAATCCGTCGCACTCTGTAGCGCACGCCTGCGGGCGGTCCTCCTTAATGGGGGAGGGCTGGGTGCGCAGAAAGAAAGAAAGAGAGAGTTGCCCCCTTGCCCCCCAAGAAAGACACAAAGAAAAAGAGAGAGAGAGAGAGAGGGTCCCTCAAGCCCTGTAGAAGAAGAAGAAGAGAGACAGAGGGAGAAAAAGAAAGAGAGAGAGAGAGAGAGAGAGCCACTGGGGGGGGGGAAACCCCTGACGTCAGGCCCCAAGAAAGAAGGAAGGAAGGGAGAGCGAGAGAGAGAGAGATCAACGAGCCAAACCTTCTCACGGGGACCTGAATCAAAGGACCCAAGCCCGGACTACTGAGCCGCTTGGCCGCCGCGGCCGGGTCCCTTCAAGGGCACTAAAGCGTGCGGAAGAAGAAGAAGGAGAAGAAGAAGAAGAAGAGTAAGAGGAAAAGTACAAGAGTAAGCTCAGCAGGCCATGTCATTCTTTGCGTATTCAGCGGATGAAAGCCCTGGGCAGAATACGTCCTCCATGTGGACAGCTGCTGGATCAGTGCCATCAACTGTAGCGACGGCACCGTTGCGAAGGACTCTGGCCTTTGAGGCTTTCCGGCTTTCTTCCTAGCCAGGAGTAGAAGAGCAAAAAGGGGTCCAGAATGCTCCAGTGGGAGACAGGCGCAAGACGGAACCAATTCACGTGCAGGACACTGTCCGTGCTTTGCAGAGAACACCTGTGGCGCTGGATGAGATGCGGTTGCCTCGGCATGCCTCGGAGTATGTGATTTCTGAATTCTGAACAGCTGGAAAGCAGCAACCAAACTCAACAAACACACCAGAACACACCGCATCGATGAGAAGCTTCGGGACATCACCCTCGGCACATCACCTTGAGCCGAGGCCTCCACCTGTTGAGGATGCGATCCAGCTCAGCTGGGGCCTTGCAGGCCTCGATTTTTTGTCGATTTTCGGTGAGGCCTCGCCGGAGAGCAGAGACCTCTGAGCCAGGCTGCGTCGCGCTGGCGTTGGTTCTTCTTCTCATGCTGCTGGGCTGGCTGGCGCCTCAGAGAGGTTCAGGGGCACAGGCGGAATCTATTGGGACGCTTTTGTGACGGCAAAAGGCTGGCATGTGTGACAAGCGGCGGCGATGCTCAGAACCTTGCCAGGTCGAGCCAAAGACCCCGGGAAACTGGCAAGCGCGGGACGGCCAAGTGACGTGGAGGCCCATGCCTTGCCCCAAGTGACCCCATGACCTGCAGCTGCTTTGCGAGCTGCAGCTCCTGTTTCTTGTTGTTAATACCCTCAGACTCTGTAGAGCTTGCGCAATCATATCTGCTACGGATGATGCAGTCCCGCTTTCTCCTGCTTCGCTGCCGCGCTACATGTTTCACTTCGGATCGCTAGGAAGCATAATGCTGCTGAAAGGTTGCAGCGTGTGGGCAGTTGGGCTGGTTGACCCAGGCAGAGGACTTCCCGAGCAGAACATCACAGATGTTTTGGTAAACTCGTGTCAGCACCTTCCCTCGTAAGTGGGGTTAGATTTGGTCACTATAAGACACTTTACGAGACTGGCCCTAAAACCTTGATATGCCTGAAACGCCTGAAGTCACTGCGAAGTGACAGGCTGGTTGGGGACTGCGCGCAAGGGCGCCTGACCTTCCCACGATGCTGAAATCTCGCAGGCCATGCTGGCGAAATGCCTCCCACGAATGTGTTTCACGGAGCCAAAAAAAGCCACCGACAGTACATAGCCTCGTGCCGTGGCGCCAAAATGGAGGTGAGGGGCGTAGCTGCCTCTTGATGGGCCATGCATTTTTCAAATAAGTGCATTGAATGCCGGTTTGGCTTCGCGCCGAGCTTTCAGCGTTTTGGTTTGTTGAACGAGTTTTTGGAGGGAGCTTCATCCGTGTGGGACGCAGGTCAGATTGCGAGGCGCGTCCTTGCGTTGGGTTTTCTGTACATGGTACATTCGCTTCAACTCGAAAACCCCAAGCGGTGGCAGAGATCGTGTTGGAAGTAGGAAGAACCAGGTGCCCACCAAAGCTTCGAGAGGGTGTCAACTACTTGGTTCAAATCCACAAAGCCGCGGCGCGCCGAGGATGGTGCTTGTGCACCCGGGCAATGCCATACCACGCGAGAGCGCGTCATGTGCACAGCAACCCTATTTTTTTTTTGTATGCATGCCATTCCCGTCCAGTCCGGCTCAATTCAGTGCTGGTGACGGTAGTTCAGTAGTAATTCGCTAGCAATAGCAGCACTTAGCTGATAGTCGCTCGACTTCAATCAGCTCTGGGATTCATAGCCCACCGCGTCGCAGAGATTCTGCTGTCTGAAGCAGTTCGGTGATTCAGCTTGACGGCGATCTCTCCAAACAACAGAACTTTTGCTGCTCGCCGCACAGCACAAGGTACTTTTTTCCCTTTCCGTCGAGATGTTCTTCGGCGGGTTTCCCGGAGGCTGTGCCGAGAGAGATAGAGAGAGGCCCCATGAAAGAAAGAACGAAAGAAAGCAAGAAAGAAAGAGAAAAGAGAAAGCTGCCCTTGCGGCAAGGAAAGGAGGGAAGGGAGGGAGGGAAGTGATAACTGTGCAGTGCCAAGATGTGGCATTCGGCTTTTGCACGTGGATGTCTTGATAGAGGCGCTGTGCAAATTTTCGCAAAGCCCAGTTGTGCACAGTTTAATCGTGCACCCCGGGCCAGCTGTTGGAAAGAGCAAGCACACTGCCCCTCTGCACTGCGTAGCTCCGCGCGCGAATTTTCGCAAAAGCGTGCGCGCAATTGGTCGCTCGAAGCCTGGTTTGCAGACCGCCCCGCTTGAGGCGACTTCCCCGGCATGGGGGGCAAGGGCGGAGGCGCCTCCGGAGAGTCATTGCCGAAGCATTGTGATGAGCCCCTCCGAGCCTGCGTTGGGCGTCCAGATCTGATCCGTGCCGAGCTGCCCTGGGCCCAGCCAGGCCGGTCCAAGAACGCGGACACGACCAAGTTCTACAAACTCCTCGAGGTAGACAAGCCGCCCGGCCAAGATTCGGTGCAAAGTTTTGTGACCTTCAATTCTGGTTTGGTGTATGTGGTGAACTCAAGCACCCGCACGCAGAGACACACGCTGTCAAAGAGCTCAGTGTGTTCAGCTATGTTTCTTCTGTGCACAAGTGGAGCGGTTTCAGCATAGCAGCTTTTAAGTGCTTGGCGCTCGCTGTCTTTGACCTGAGCTGTCACAAGGGGAGCTGAATGGCATACTGCATGCATGCAGGCAGAACCTGTAGCCTATAGCCCTCTTCCAAGGAACGCCTCAGAATCTGACATCAAGAAGGTGCGAGCACGTCACACGCGACTTGCACATAGACACAGGATCCTGGTCTGTTCTGTCGCACAAAGACACGGAGGGTCGTGGTCAGTTCCGTCGCCACGTGCCTGCTTCGAAGCCTTTCGAAGGCGTACAGGAAGCTGGCCGTGAAGCACCACCCCGACAAGGCGATCAGCTTAGTCGAAGATTTGTTGGGGCGCCGGAAGCATTTTCGAGCTTGCCAGGGCGGTGACCAGGAGAAGTTCAAGGAGATCACCCGAGCATACGAGGCGAGGGGCTGCGTTGCTGGATACGCGCCTGAATGACTTCTCCTAGTTGTGCCGACAGCTGTGCTGACAGACACACGTGACATACGCCGTGGCCCGAGGTGTTGAGCGACTCCGACAAGCGAGCCAAGTACGACCGGTTCGGTTCGGTGCTGAGATCATGGACATGACTCATGTACTTGTTTGTAGTCCGAGTCTTGCTGGAAGGTCGTTTCAGCCGCCTGAAGCCATCGACGACTAAGATCCTCAAACCCACTCCCCCTCCCCCCAACTCCCTCCCGCGCCGTTTCCCGTGAGCGTGAGTTTTGAGTTTCCAAGGTGAGGAGGGCCTGGAGAACGATGGGCCGGGCGATGCAGGGGACATCTTCGAGGCCTTCTTCGGGGGAGGCCAGCCTTTGCACTTTTTGGGAAGATGTTCCGCTCTGCACTGCTCCGCTGCAACGTAGGCGGCCGCCGGGGTGGTGGTGGCGCCCGCAAGCGACAGAAGACCAAGGTGGCCTGCTTTGGCTGTGATGCTGTGTGACAAAGGCATGCGTCTGCGGCCTAATTTCAGTGGCGCCCACGGAAGTCAGGACGTTGTGCAGAACCTCAAGGTCACCCTAGAGCAGCGTCCCGCCTGCAAGCCTAGCCCTAGCCTCCAGGATCACTACTTAAGTCTCTCTCTCTCTCTCTCTCTCTCCCTCTCTCTCGCTCTTTCTCTCCCTCGCTCTCTTGTATGTATGTATGTATGTATGTATGTATGTATGTATGTATGTATGTATGTATGTATGTATGTATGTATGTATGTATGTATGTATGTATGTGTGTGTATGTATGTATGTATGTATGCATGTATGTATGTATTTATGTATGTATGTGTGTGTATGTGTGTGTATGTACACATATATATATGTATATGTATATGTATATGTATATGTATATGTATATGTATATGTATATGTATATGTATATGTATATGTATATGTATAGTATATGTACATGTATATGCATCAGAGATTTTTTTTTTCCTCTCTCCCTCTCTGCCTCCTCCATCTCTTTTTCTCTCTCTCTCTTTCTGTCTCTTTCTGTCTCTTTGTCTCTCTTTGTCTCTCTTTGTCTCTCTTTGTCTCTCTTTCTCTCTCTTTCTCTCTCTTTCTCTCTTTCTGTCTCTTTCTCTCTCTTTCTCGCTCTCTTTCTCTCTCTTTCTCTCTTTCTCTCTCGCTTGCTCTATCTCTCTCTCTCTCTCTCTGTCTCCTATCTCTCTTTCCTCTCTTGCGTGGCAAGAGCCCACGCAAGGATGTACTCTGGGTCCACGAAGAAGATGGCTATCACCCGCCAGGTGGGGAGTGCGCGGTCTCACAGAAATTGGTTGGCACAGGGAGCGTTAAGCACCACACAAAGTCATGGCTATGTGTTCCTCTGCACACGTTCAACGCCTCGCCGCAAGACTTCCAGCGCGTTTTGGAAGGTCATCGACAAGAAGAAGGGCGTCCAGGAGTGTCGGGAATGCGACGGCCGCGGCGTGAAGGTCGAGGTCGTGCGCATGGGGCCGCTGGACTGGCAAACGCTTTGTCTTCAGGCTTTTCAGGCTCTTCAGGCGGCTTTTCAGGCCCGGCGCATCCACAGCTGGGTCGCACGCTGAGGCCCATGATTCAGCAGATGTGGCTCGGCAGCGACTGTTCTTTGAGCAGTCCGTGGCAGATTCACACATTAATTCCCAGGATCAAAGTTCGCATTGGGTGGCCTTGCGCCATGAACACTGCACGAAGTGTAAGTGTAAGTGTAGTATGATCCGGCAACACCTGACTCGACCTTGCGCACACTCCACCACCTGACCACAGTCTCCGGTTAATCCGAAGAACCCGCAGGCAGTCGCAGTGCCACTCCTGCGGCGGTCAGGGAAAAAGCTTCCAAACCAAGCAGGACAGGGAGGCAGGCTCCCCCGCTTCCTTCGTGATCCGGGGGCTGGTCTAAGGGCTAGACTCTTGCATCAATTGCCATGCGCTTATTAAGTTAGGTTTAGGGTCAGGAGTTTTGGGGTCTTGGGGATCAGGATGTTGCTTAGAGCTGAGAAGCTTCAGGGGACCACCGCCGTTGGCCTTACGGCTGGACGGCACAGTACAGCACACTACAGCCAGAACGTCGAGAAACGCTTTCGCTTGGAAACTTCCGTCTGGCAGGTCCTCGAGGTGCATGTGCAGAAGGGTGCACCGGATGGCCACAAGGCACGATGGCAGAGAGTCCAGGTTTTCAGAGGGCAAGGAGTGGTCGCGTTGTGTGAATGTGTGAACGTGTCTCTGTGTGTGTGGCGCATGCTTGCGAGTGATGTTGAACGTACTTCTAACTTCATCTAGTGGTGCATCCCGTGGAGCCGACAATCAATTTGAGGAGCAGGGACTGCTGGCAGCAACTTGTTGTGGGGCCTTGGCCTTTTCAACGTGTCGTGGTCATCAAAACCCAGGTGTGGCACCTCATGGAATCCCCTTGTCTTGGAAACTCTCTATCATCAGAGCTCATGTGTGCTGGCTTGTGATCGTGAACCGTTGGCTGTTCCAAGTTGGGTAGTAATGGGTTCTTTACTACCTGTCTTGCCATGAGAAAAAGATTCTGAGAATCCAGCCTTTACTTTGGCACAGAACATGTAGAGAGCAGAGGGATGGTGCAGCAATAGCCAACACACGTTCAGCTTCGCTAGTGTGGAGCAGACACCTTCGATGCGCAGCTTTTGCTCCTCTAGCAGTGGAAGCAATCGACACTTCATTCGTCCATTCCGTACCTCGATGAGGTTTTCCCCTCCCATCACTTGAATGCTGCATGCTATTGGTGTGTGTGCGGGCGCAAACAGCATGTCTGACCCAAGTGGATCGCGGGAGCAGGTCACGTTCAGGGAAATGGCTGACGAGCACCCGGATGCGGATGCTGGTGACGTGGTCTTCGTGCTGAAGCAGCAGGCGTGCAGGGTGCCATCCGAGATCAGCCCCCCAGCGTTCCGGTCAGTACCATGGCAAATCCCCATGCCAGGAACATGCCGACTTCAAGAGGAAAGGCGCCGATCTCTACGTGGAGCGCAAGATTTCCTTGGTCGAGGTGCTGTGCTGTAGCGGCATGTTGCAGCCAAGCTGTCGTGCGGGCGTGAGTGGCATCGGCAGTTCTAAACGAGTGCAGCCCCGCAGGCCCTGTGCGGCTTCCAGATGGAGCTCACGCACCTGGACGGCCGCAAGCTGCTCATCAAGACGCAGCCAGGCCGACCAAGCCGACGTGCGAGTTCTTCGCAAGCCCCCTTTTCGTGCCCAAGTCTCAGGCCATCTGCAAAAAAGTTGACGCAGGTGAGATCGTGAAGCCCATGTCCCAGGGCTTCGACCCTCTTGCCAAAGAGGCCGGCCAGCGGCAGTGTCCGTATGTCTCCAGATGGTCGGTTCTCTGAATTGGGGGGTCCCTTCTTGGGGTCCATGTTATCACGGAGTCCCTTTCATGTTGGGTAATTACACTGGAACAAGGCACCAACATCTCGAGAACTGACCAGACGTGAGGATAACAAGACCGAGTGGGAAGTCATCGAGGATGCAGACTGCCCTTCCGTGGAGAATGTGGCGCAGGCTCGAGCTCATGTGGTCCGCAGAGTCGCCGATGGGACCCGTCTTCCCGTCTCCAGGCAGACACCACAGACATCGACACGCTGAAGAAGGCGTGCGAGACGCAGCTCAAGCGCCTGGTGGCCCAGTGTTCCTGAAAAGGGCAGAAGGGAGCAGGTGCCAGGGGGCTTCGGGGTCGGGGCAGGGCCAATATTATGGCTTGCAGCAAGATGCACCGGCTAGTCGGGACAGCAGCAGCGCCGCAGCGAGTCGCACCCCAGGAAAGGGCATCGATGTGGGATGCTTTGTCGTAGACGGCCAGCGACCACGCCTCAGGGGGACGCGACAGGCTTGCCGTGCGCAGTAATAACTTTAACCACTGTCGTCGAAGCCTGCCTTTGCAGCTTCATCGTCCCCCGAAGCACACTTCGAGGAGACATCTAGCTCGCAATATGTCGTTCGAACTTGGTTTTGCTCAGGCGCCTACTTCAAGCAGTGCACTCGCGAAGAGGCTCTGGCAGCCTTGCGCCCAGCCATTTTGCATGTGAGACAATAGGACCGCTACATAGCACTGCTGTAGCGTCCTTGCAGACTACCCTGAGGCTAAGAAGACGCGTCGCGGTAGCACGATGCAGCCTGGCAGTCTATGAAGCTGGCAGTCTATGAAGCCTTCGGAAGATTTCGGAAGGAAGTCTTGTCGTTGTCCGCTGCCCTTGCGGCGCTGCGTGGTGCAGCTTCCCGAGTGGCCTGTGTCGCAGGTACCTCATCCCAGATCCAGATGCTCCTTGGTGGCAGCACCGTTCCGACATGTTCACACACAGGGTGATGGTGAAGCTTCGTTACCTTCCCTTCTCTTCTGTGAGGCCAAGAAGGCTTTTCGCATGATGAAGGCCAGTCGATTCGAGAGCTTGGGGGTCTGGAACTGCAGCTGCAACATGTGTGGGTTAGGGTTTAGGGTTTAGGGTTTAGGGTTTAGGGTTTAGGGTTTAGGGTTTAGGGTTTAGGGGTGGATGTTGCGCTGCGCAGCGCGCGTGGATGCGGAAGGCTGTGAAGGATGAGGGCATGCCGACCTACAAGAACCCGCCCCTCGCACGCAGTGAGCCCTCACCGGCCCGAACCCGACCTCAACCCAATTCCCAACCCCGCAAGAAGCGGGAACGCGCGGGGACTCGCGGGGGATTCGCCGGGGTCTCAGGTTCGTCCACGGCAACCTGTTCCTGATCCTCACGATCGAGCCGGACACCTAAGTTAATTAGATATAATTCGATTGCAGTTGGTTCAGGTCAGCTCTGAAGCGCTGCTCTCTGTGGCACCTTTGCTTGTGACCCGTGTGGTCGGCTCAGCTCTCTGCCTTCTGTGTGCAGGTTTCCGGACTCGCTGTCTCCAGAGAACCAGACCGCCGCCAGCTGAGTCATAGTTTGGGTTTGGGGGTCAATGAACTCTTGTAAGCTTTCAGGGTTTAGGTTGAGGAGAATGGTGTGATTGACCTTCTGCATAATTTGTTACGGAAGGGAATTGTAGGTTATCGTGTTTGCATAGCATTGCTGAGCCGCTGCGTTGCAGCCACGAGATCTGGAGCTCACTGTCAGAGCCTGCTAGGCCATGGCAAAGCTGCTGCCGCCGCCGCGGCCTCAGTCGAGACTTTGGGGAAAGCACAGAGGTCCTACGACATCTCCACAAGGAAACGACTGAGCATCACAAGTTTTCTGTTGCCGGTCTTTCAGATATGCCAGGCCGCTGAATGTGCCAAAGTGGTCAGAGGAGCATTCTCGGGGTCCTCGTCGGTTTGCGCTGCGTGCAACAAAGATACAGCAAACGCACTCCCGCTGCCAGGACGACAAGGATGTCGAGATTCACACTGTGACCGACATCGACCCAGTGCAGTCTTTCAACTCCAACAAGGCTTTCTCATCCTAGGGCCCATCTCGCAGGGTTTTTGCATTGCTCAGAGGCAAGGTGGGACTTGTTACGATGGTCGACCAGTTCTTAAGGCCCCTACATCAGCGTTTCGGGTCTAGGGTTTTTGGAGAGGTTCGGGGTTTGCAGGCGGTTTAGGGCTCAGGGGCCTTGGGGCGTCGGATCTAGGGTTTAACGGTTGGGTGCGTTTGGGTTCAAAGTTGTCTTAGGAAGGGGCGGGCCTAACGTCTCGCCACTCCTGACAGCCAAAGCGCTGGTACGGCTGAGGTCTTGTGGCCGGGGCAGAAGCCAGCGATCCGTTGTTGTGTAATTACTTGTCAAGCTTAGCTATTATTAATCATTACACGCGGCCGCACATTTGAAAAGCCAGCCGTCCTCGTGGGCATAGGTGTGTCACCTTTCCGGGGGCAGAAGCCACTAGTTTTTGCGAAATCGCCATGGAGAGCGTGCCTCTGGTGGAGTTTGCATCGTCGCTGCACAGACACGGCACGCCTTCTCCAAGCATTTCAGGTGACTTGATGTTGTTCAAGGTTGTGGGCTTGCAGACACTCAATGCCTTTGCAGGAACCATACCAGTTCGCCTGTTGTTCAGTGCCTGCAATGGCTACCGAGTTTAGCGATCGTGATTGTACGTTGATTGTTTAGATGTTTCTGGATTGTTTCTGGTATCTGACGGTGCGTTAGGCTGAGATGGAGAAGCTTCAGTTGCGTCATGAGTGAAGCACCTCGGGACCTAGCAAGCCCTGCGGACATAGAAATGCTTCAACTCGGCAAAGTGAGTGACTAAGCGTGCCTCAAGCTTAGTGCACTTAGGAACGCCCTTTGTGATGTACACCGTACCCGCCGAAGCCTTCTTGGAGATGACAGAAGTCAAGATGCACGAGGAGCTGGCAGACGCCGGTGTGCTCACAGAGTTTGATGAGAGCCTGGGAAAGGCAATGTTCGTGTCGCACCAATGGCTGAGTGACACGCATCCTGATCCAGACTTCCAACAGCTACAAGTTCTGCAGGATGCGCTGAAGAACATCGTTGCCGGCACCAGTAGAATTTCTCTGGCCATTTTCGTGGAGATTCTCAATGCTCGCGTAAGATGCCCTTCTGGCGACGACTTTGCTTCTGGCCATCTTCACATTTGGTATGACTACTTCAGCATCCCACAGCGCAGCTGTCACAAGGCATCTCAGGAGCGCGGCAGTGCCATTCAAAGCATCCCAGCGTATGTGGCAAGGTGCGAGTTCTTTGTTGTACTGTGCCCGGCTTTGACGCACCAAGACAAGCAGGGGACTCTGGGCCACGCAACTTGGGGCGAAAGGGGGTAGCTGAGTTGCATTGGCGTGCTTCGTGTTGGAGGATACACTTGTTTCACACCTAGGTCCTAGGTGTTGCCGGTTCCTTAATTACCCCGCAGCCCAGTCCAGGTGGTGTCGCACAGAGAGGGTTGCATGTGAACTCTCGACCCTCAGCGCTGGCTACCTAATTGTTGTTGAGAGCGCCACCCACCAGACGCTGGAATGGACAGGGCTCAGGATAAGGGAGGCGCCTGGTGAAGGAGAGTTTACAGTTGATGGTGACAGAGTATGGATCGGTCGTATGGTTATTCAGATGGTTTGGTCCAAGCTTTTCTACTACCTCAAGCGCCGAGAGTTTCACAACTACCGATACCTTCTGAACGCCCAAGCGCCACAATATTTCCGTGGTCTTGACGTGGAACCACTTGACGGCCTTGTTCCGGGATTCCACACTGAGACCGACCCGAGTGTTGACTGCAAGGGCTTCATGTTGGAACGTTTCCTGCATCAGAACGGCTTCAGGAGCTTGGAAACCCGAACCTGTCACCCAGCCCCCTCACTTGCGAAAGTCACGACCCTTTACCCCTCGATTTGTGCTCCAGCTGTCAGGAGCATCTCCGAGCGGGACGATGCAGGGTGGCCGCCAATTTGCTTTGCTGCGATGAGCAACAACCTCGTGGTCCTGCAAGGGCTTCTTGACCGAAAGGTGGATATCAACCAGGCTACGACCAAGCCCAAGGCAGAGTTCAACCTTCCTGCCAAGTTGACGGCCCTGGCAATAGCTTCCATCAACCGCAGCAACGAAGCAGTCGAGCTGCTTCTGCGTGCCAGAGCCCATGTGAACTACAAGGATGGCCACGGGGGCAATGCCCTCCATACGGCGACTGCCGGGGACAATCCACGTGGAGTACGTCTGCTCTGCGATGCTCGTGCCAACATGAACCAAGAATGCGTGCCGGGGCTGAGCCCTTTCATGCTCTCGTGTGCATGCGGAAGCGGGCGCGCAATGAAGGAGCTGCTCTCCCTAAATCCAGGCTTGAGTTTGCGACACTGCCTGCACATCGCGCTCATGTTCGCCCCGGGCAGTGCTCCCGACGTGGTTTCCATTCTGCTCGAGGCTCGGGCGAATGTGAATGAACAGTTCCGAGTACACATCAGGGACCCAGGATGGTGGTTTCTGATGAATCTCATGGGTGTGAAGCATCGGGTAAGCCCTTCCAGACTGACTCTGCTGGCATATCATCATTACGATGCGACGCCGTTGATGTTCAGCATTCTGAGTGGTTGTCTGGATTCCGTGTCCTCCCTGCTCTCAGCCAGAGCCCGGGTAGACATCCGCAACTACCGCAAGAAAACAGCATCCGAACTGGCGCGCCAGATGCTCGCGCCATCGTGGTTGATAGAGGTCTGTTCTATGAACGGCCAGGAAGACGCCGAGACCCTTGCTGAGAGCGACACATTCTCTATTTGAGAGTCTGGGCCGACGCCGAAGGCTTATCCAAGTCTCAACAAATGCAGGGTCAATGTTCTTCATTCTCTGTTTGAGAGGCCGTGGCCGACGCCAAAGGCGCGTCCACGATGTTAGGTTTGCTGGGTTTGAATGTGTGCTAAAGCTCTTTGCTCACAATTTGAATTGGGTGAGATTGCAAAATTCTGGCTTGTTTGATTGCGGTGTGATGTATGTCGAAGACTCCGCAGAAGAATCTTTATTTGAGAGGTCAAGGCGAGTCCAAGTCTTCCGATGTTAGTTTTGCTGGGTTTTGAATCAGTGTTAACAGCTTTCTGCTCACAACTTGAATGGTAGGTTATTGGCCGGGCGTAGAAATTGTAAATTCTTGCTCGTTTGATTGCGGTGGGACATATGTCGAAGACTCCGCAGCCAAAATGCCGGGTCAATGTTCTTCATTCCATTTGAGAGGTCTTGGCCGACGCCGAAGGCGTGTCCAAGTCTCACGACGTTAGTTTTGCTGGGTTTGGAATGTGGTGTAAAGCTGTCTGATCGCTGGCCGCTGGGATCAGGATCAGGTACGCAAGAATCCCCCTTGCTGCCTTTGACAGTCGCGAAATGCCGAGTCTTAGCTTGCTTGTGTGACACCCACCTGGAAATTATGAAATTCAAGAGCTACGCAAATCTAAAGTAAAAACACAGAAAATCATCTGCACCACTGCATTGTTGTAAGCAATATGCGATCACGCAGTTCCGCATGTTGCATCATCTAAGGCTGCTGAACACGTTTCTCTGGGTTTCTTTCAGTGATGGGAGCCTCTTGAACTTCTTGATGCAGGTCAACATGCAAGCGGGCGGCGAGGCCTACGACGATGATGAGGAAGCTTGCCATGCACGAGAAAGAAGCGACTAAGCACGAGGCACCCGTTCCCAGGAACAGCCAGCCCGGAGGATAGGAGAGATCAAGCGGGGGGGGGCGGTGGCGGGGGGGGGGGGGAGGGGGGTTGCGAGGTTTCGGGCGCCTGGTAGTTTAGCCATATAAGTCGTGGGGCCGTGGGGTGCCAGGAGGACGGTCCTCGCGGCGGTCCTGGCGGACCCGGTGTACAGTGTCATCAGCAGTGAGGCCAGATCGCATCTATTTTTTTAACTGCATTGTACTGGGCCGAAGCAGAGAGAGAGAGAGAGAGAGAGATCTGTAAAGGATACATACGTATATGTATATTTTGAACTTACTAAGACCTAGCGAACACTGCAAAACCTGACCAAGAATTCAGCAAAAGAACTAGAACCGAAAGTGGAATCCCGTGAAACCTTATCGCTGGTCCGAGAATAGCTAGGACACCAATGCGATTCGATTGTACAAGCTGTCCCCGCTTCACTGCGTGCTAGTTTCGCTGTGCAGAAACTGTCGCACATGAGTTTCTCCCCACATGTCAAAGGTTGCAGCAAGCGTGGGTGTTCGAGGTGGTTTCATGCGACTTGCTATGAAATCACAACTCGTGCCCGCGCCTGCCCTCTGAAGTCGAGCGGTTTGTAAACCAAAAAAAAGACCTGAACGCAAGCTCTGCCTGAAGCCGAGAATGCAAAGTGGCAGGCTGGCCTGGGCGCAAGGGCGCCTGACCTTTCCAAATACCTACCCGAATGCGTTTCACGTAGCACGGAGCAAAAAGCCATTGACGGAGTGCATGATGTGCATGGTCTCCTTGAAGTGAGGCTTTGAGCCGTGGCTTGATGTGCCATAGGCATCCAAAGCAAAGAGTTTTTAAGCAACGGCCTGTTATGCTACGGTTCGAGCTACCAGGCTTTCCGTTTGCTTAGTAGTAACGAGTTTCGGGGGGAAGCTTTCGTGTGGGATGCAGGTCAGGTGTATCCTGGCACACAGGCACACAGGCACACAGGCACACAGGCACACAGGCATGCAGGCACGCAGGCACGCAGGCACGCAGGCACGCAGGCACGCAGGCACACACACGCACACACACGCACACACACGCACACCCCCCGCACGCCCGCGCACGCCCGCGCACGCCCGCGCACGCCCGCGCACGCCCGCGCACGCCCGCGCACGCCCACACACGTGTGCTTACGGTACTACTTGTAGAAGCCGTGACAAACGACAAGAAGCACAAGGCAGCCAACCGAGGTCGCGGACGCTTCCTCTCAGCATGCTCTGCCACACAGCACACTTAGGAACGAATGGTGGGCTGCCTGGCGGAACAAAGCCACCAAAAGTGAAAGTAGGGCAAGCATGACTAGGTGCCCCCACGAAAGGCTATTTTGGGTTAGCGGGGGTGCAGACCACCCAATAGCGACGAACTGAGGCCCCAGGGCCTCGAGGCATGCAAAGTAAAGCTGCGCGCCAATGATGGTGGGCGAACAGCAACTCTGTTCTTTGGATGCACGCCGTTCCCGTCCAGTCGGCTCAATTCAGTGCTGGGACAGTAGTACAGTTTGGGTAGCAGTAGCCGTTAACAGCTGATAGTCGCTTGGCTTCAACCAGCTTTGGGATGCATAGCCTCTGCGTCGCAGATTCTGCTGTCTAAAGCGGTCGGTTGATGCAGCTTGACGACGATCTCTCCAAACAAGACATTCTTCACTGTCCGCCGTACAGCGCAAGGCACCTTTTCCCTTTCCGCCGAGATGTTCTTCGAGAGGAGGGAAGAGGAGGGAAGAGGAGGGAAGAGGAGGGAAGAGGAGGGAAGAGGAGGGAAGAGGAGGGAAGAGGAGGGAAGAGGAGGGAAAGGGAGGGAAGAGGAGGGAAGAGGAGGGAAGAGGAGGGAAGAGGAGGGAAGAGGAGGGAAGAGGAGGGAAGAGGAGGGAAGAGGAGGGAAGAGGAGGGAAGAGGAGAGAAGAGGAGGGAAGAGGAGGGAAGAGGAGGGAAGAGGAGGGAAGAGGAGGGAAGAGGAGGGAAGAGGAGGGAGGGAAGGAGGGAGGAGGGAAGGAGGGAGGGAGGGAAGGGAGGGAAGGGAAGAAGGAGGGAAGGGAAGAAAGGAAGGGAAGGAGGGAAAGGAAGAAGGAGGGAAGGGAGGGAAGTAAAGGAGGGAAGTAAAGGAGGGAAGTAAGGATGAGGGAAGGGAGAGGGAAGGAGGAGGGAAGGGAGAGGGAAGGGAGAGGGAAGGAGGGAGAGGGAAGGAGGGAGAGGGAAGGAGGGAGAGGGAAGGAGGGAGAGGGAAGGAGGGAGAGGAAAGGAGGGAGAGGGAAGGAGGGAGAGGGAAGGAGGGAGAGGGAAGGAGGGAGAGGGAAGGAGGGAGAGGGAAGGAGGGAGAGGGAAGGAGGGAGAGGGAAGGAGGGAGAGGGAAGGAGGGAGAGGGAAGGAGGGAGAGGGAAGGAGGGAGAGGGAAGGAGGGAGAGGGAAGGAAGAAGGGAGAGGGAAGGGGGGAGAAGGAGAGGGGGGGGAGAGGGGAGGGAAGGGGGGAGAGGGAAGGGGGGGAGGGGAAGGGGGGCGAGGGAAGGGGGGGAGGGGGAGAGGGAGGGGGGAGAGGGAAGGGGGGGGAGAGGAGGGGGGAGAGGGAAGGGGGGAGAGGGAAGGGGGGAGGGGAAGGGGGGAGAGGAAGAAGGGAGAGGGAAGAAGGGAGAGGAAGAAGGGAGAGGTCAGAAGGAGAGGGAAAAGGAGAGGGAAGAAGGGAGAGGGAAGGGAGGGACGGGGGAGAGGGAAGGGGAGGAGAGGGAAGGCGGAGAGGAAGGGCGAGGGCAGGGGGGAGAGGAAGGGGGGAGAGGGAAGGGGGGAGGGAAGGGGGAGGAGGGAAGGGGGGAGAGGGAAGGGGGGAGGGAAGGGGGGAGAGGGAAGGGGGGAGGGGAAGGGGGGGAGAGGGAAGGGGGGGGAGGGAGGGGAGAGGGAAGGGGGAGAGGGAAGGGGAGAGGGAAGGGGGGGGGGAGGAGAGGGAAGGGGGGTGAGAGGGAAAGGGAAGGGAGGGAAGGGAGAGGGAGGGAGAGGGAAGAAGGGAAGGGAGAGGGAAGGGAGAGGAAGGGAGAGGGGAAGGGAGAGGGAAGGGAGAGGGAAGGAGAGGGAGGGGGGAAGGGGGAGGGAAGGGAGAGGGAAGGGGGGGAAGGGGTAGGGAAGGGGAGAAGGGAGGGGGGAAGGGGGAGGGAAGGGGGAGGGAGGGAGGGGGAGGGAAGGAGGAGGGAGGGAAGGAGGAAGGGGAGGAAGGGAGGGGAAGGGAGGGAAGGGAGGGAAGGGAGGGAAGGGAGGGAAGGGAGAGGGAAGGGAGGGAAGGAGGGAAGGAGGGAAGGAGGGAAGGAGGGAAGGAGGAGGCCGGCAGGAGGGGAAAGGGGGACGGGGATGGAGCGGCATACCATGCACCAGCTACGTTCGGCATGGGAGTCGGTTGTTGCACGTAATGTAGATGTCTTTATAGAGGCGCTGTGCAAGATTTCGCTAATTCGTGCGCGCCCGAAGCCTGGCGCCTCCCAAGCCCCAGCCCCCACACCCCTATCACAGCAACTCTGGATTTTGCGGACCGCGCTTGAGGCGACTTCCCGGCTCGTCGCAACAGCCGCAGGGAGTCGTCAGGGCCTCTAGCAGCCTCTAGCAGCCTCTAGCAGTCCATCGCTCCCCAGGAAAGGGCATCGATGTAGCGACCGCGCCTCAGGGGGAGACGGGCTTGGCTTGGTTGCCAGTTAGAACATTCGCGAAGCATTGCCGTCGAAGCCTGCCTATTGCGGCTTCATAGACTCCCGAAGCACAAGTCGCGGAGACATCTAGCTCGCAATATGTCGTTCGAACTTGGTTTTGCTCAGGCGCCTACTTCAAGCAGTGCACTCGCGAAGAGGCTCTGGCAGCCTTGCGCCCAGCCATTTTGCATGTGAGACAGTAGGACCGCTACATAGCACTGCTGTAGCGTCCTTGCAGACTACCCTGAGGCTAAGAAGACGCGTCGCGGTAGCACGATGCAGCCTGGCAGTCTATGAAGCTGGCAGTCTATGAAGCCTTCGGAAGATTTCGGAAGGAAGTCTTGTCGTTGTCCGCTGCCCTTGCGGCGCTGCGTGGTGCAGCTTCCCGAGTGGCCTGTGTCGCAGGTACCTCATCCCAGATCCAGATGCTCCTTGGTGGCAGCACCGATCCGACATGTTCACACACAGGGTGATGGTGAAGCTTCGTTACCTTCCCTTCTCTTCTGTGAGGCCAAGAAGGCTTTTCGCATGATGAAGGCCAGTCGATTCGAACTGCAGCTGCAACATGTGTGGGTTTAGGGTTTAGGGTTTAGGGTTTAGGGTTGAGGGTTGAGGGTTGAGGCTTTAGGGGTGGATGTTGCGCTGCGCAGCGCGCGTGGATGCGGAAGGCTGTGAAGGATGAGGGCATGCCGACCTACAAGAACCCGCCCCTCGCATGCAGTGAGCCCTCACCGGCCCGAACCCCGACCTCAACCCAATTCCCAACCCCGCAAGAAGCGGGAACGCGCGGGGACTCGCGGGGGACTCGCGGGGGATTCGCGGGTCTCAGGTTCGTCCACGGCAACCTCTTCCTGATCCTCACGATCGAGCCGGGGGCCTCAGATAGCTGGAAGTTGGTTCAGCTCAGCCATGCATTAAGCAGCTCTTGTTTTTGAAAGGGAGCTCACTCGAGTGGCCTCAGTTTTCTGCCTTGTGTGTGCAGGTTTCCGGACTCGCTGTCTCCAGAGAACCAGACCGCCGCAAGCTGAGTCCCGGGTTTAGTGAAGTTTGGGGTCAGGTTTCAGGGTTTAGGTTGAGGAGAATGGTGTGATCGGCCTTCTGCATTTGTTACGGAAGGGAGTTGTAGGTTATCGTGTTTGCGTAGCATTGCTGAGCCGCTGCGTTGCAGCCGAGCGGCATAGTCGAGATCTGGAGCTGCTTGACTGTAGCCTGCTAGGCCAGGGCAAAGCTGCTGCCGCTGCCGCGGCCTCAGTCGAGACTTTGGGGAAAGCACAGAGGTCCCACAACATGTCCATTGAGAATGTCGAGTTTTCTTGAGTAGATCCCAGTGATGTTGCCGCTCTTTCAGACATGCCAAAGTGGTCAGAGGAGCATTCTCGGGGTCCTCGTCGGTTTGTGCAGGACGACAAGGATGTCGAGATTCACACTGTGACCGACATCGACCCAGTGCAGTCTTTCAACTCCAACAAGGCTTTCTCATCCTAGGGCCCATCTCGCAGGTTTTTGCATTGCTCAGAGGCAAAGTGGGACTTGTTACGATGGCGTTTCGGGTCTAGGGTTTTTCGATGTTCGGGGTTTGCAGGCGGTTTAGGGCTCAGGGGCCTTGGGGCGTCGGATCTAGGGTTTAACGGTTGGGTGCGTTTGGGTTCAAAGTTTTCTTAGGAAGGGGCGGGCCTAACGTCTCGCCACTCCTGACAGCCAAAGCGCTGGTACGGCTGAGGTCTTGTGGCCGGGGCAGAAGCCAGCGATCCGTTGTTGTGTAATTACTTGTCAAGCTTAGCTATTATTAATCATTACACGCGGCCGCACATTTGAAAAGCCAGCCGTCCTCGTGGGCATAGGCGTGTCACCTTTCCGGGGGCAGAAGCCACTAGTTTTTGCGAAATCGCCATGGAGAGCGTGCCTCTGGTGGAGTTTGCATCGTCGCTGCACAGACACGGCACGCCTTCTCCAAGCATTTCAGGTGACTTGATGTTGTTCAAGGTTGTGGGCCTGCAACGGCTACCGAGTTTAGCCATCGTCTTTGTACGTTGATTGTTTAGATGTTTCTGGATTGTTTCTGGTATCTGACGGTGCGTTGGGCTGAGATGGAGAAGCTTCAGTTACGTCACGAGTGAAGCACCTCGGGACCTAGCAAGCCCTGCGGACATAGAAATGCTTCAACTCGGCAAAGTGACTAAGCGTGCCTCAAGCTTAGTGCACTTAGGAACGCCCTTTGTGATGTACACCGTACCCGCCGAAGCCTTCTTGGAGATGACAGAAGTCAAGATGCACGAGGAGCTGGCAGACGCGGGTGTGCTCACAGAGTTTGATGAGAGCCTGGGAAAGGCAATGTTCGTGTCGCACCAATGGCTGAGTGACACGCATCCTGATCCAGACTTCCAACAGCTACAAGTTCTGCAGGATGCGCTGAAGAACATCGTTGCCGGCACCAGTAGAATTTCTCTGGCCACTTTCGTGGAGATTCTGAATGCTCGCGTAAGATGCCCTTGTGGCGACGACTTCGCTTTCGGCCATCTTTACATTTGGTATGACTACTTCAGCATCCCACAGAGCAGCTGTCACAAGGCATCTCGGGAGCGCGACAGTGCCATTCAAAGCATCCCAGCGTATGTGGCAAGGTGCGAGTTCTTTGTTGTACTGTGCCCGGCTTTGACGCACCAAGACAAGCAGGGGACTCTGGGCCACGCAACTTGGGGCGAAAGGGGGTAGCTGAGTTGCATTGGCGTGCTTCGTGTTGGAGGATACACTTGTTTCACACCTAGGTCCTAGGTGTTGCCAGTTCCTTAATTGCCCCGCAGCCCAGTCCAGGTGGTGTCGCACAGAGAGGGTTGCATGTGAACTCTCGACCCTCAGCGCTGGCTACCTAATTGTTGTTGAGAGCGCCACGCACCAGACGTTGGAATGGACAGGGCTCAGGATAAGGGAGGCACCTGGTGAAGGAGAGTTTACAGTTGATGGTGACAGAGTATGGATCGGTCGTATGGTTATTCAGATGGTTTGGTCCAAGCTTTTCTATTACCTCAAGCGTCGAGAGTTTCACAACTACCGATACCTTCTGAACGCACAAGTGCCGCAATATTTCCGTGGTCTTGACCTGGAACCACTTGACGGCCTTGTTCCGGGATTCCACACTGAGACCGACCCGAGTGTTGACTGCAAGGGCTTCATGTTGGAACGTTTCCTACATCAGAACGGCTTCAGGAGCTTGGAAACCCGAACCTGTCACCCAGCCCCCAGATTTGCGAAAGTCACGACCCTTTACCTGTCCTCGATTTTGTGCTCCAGCTGTCAGGAGCATCTCCGAGCGGGACGATGCAGGGTGGCCGCCAATTTGCTTTGCAGCGATGAGCAACAACCTCGTGGTCCTGCAAGGGCTTCTTGACCGAAAGGTGGATATCAACCAGGCTACGACCAAGCCCAAGGCGGAGTTCAACCTTCCTGCCAGATTGACGGCCCTGGCAGTAGCTTCCGTAAACCACAGCAATGGAGCAGTCGAGCTGCTTCTGCGTGCCAGAGCGTGTGTGAACTACAAGGATTGCTGGGGTGGCAATGCCCTCCATTTGGCGACTGCCGGGGACAATCCACGCGGAGTACGTCTGCTCTGCGATGCTCGTGCCAGCATGAACCAAGAATGCGTGCCGGGGCTGAGCCCTTTCATGCTCTCGTGTGCATGCGGAAGCGGGCGTGCAGTGAAGGAGCTTCTCTCTCTAAATCCAGGGTTGAGTTTGCGACACTGCCTGCACGTCGCGCTCATGTTCGCCCCGGGCAGTGCTCCCGACATGGTTTCCATTTTGCTCGAGGCTCGGGCGAATGTGAATGAACAGTTCCGAGTACACATCAGGGACCCAGGATGGTGGTTTCTGATGAATCTCATGGGTGTGAGGCATCGGGTAAGCCCTTCCCGACTGACTCTGCTGGCATTTCATCATTACGATGCGACGCCGTTGATGTTCAGCATTCTGAGTGGTTGTCTGGATTCCGTGTCCTCCCTGCTCTCAGCCAGAGCCCGGGTAGACATCCGCAACTACCGCAAGAAAACAGCATCCGAACTGGCGCGCCAGATGCTCGCGCCATCGTGGTTGATAGAGGTCTGTTCTATGAACGGCCAGGAAGACGCCGAGACCCTTGCTGAGAGCGACACATTCTCTATTTGAGAGTCCTGGCCGACGCCGAAGGCTTGTGCAAGTCTCAAAAGATGCAGGGTCAATGTTCTTCATTCTCTGTTTGAGAGGCCGTGGCCGACGCCAAAGGCGCGTCCACGTCTCACGATGTTAGGTTTTCTAGGTTTTGAATGCGTGTTAAATTACAGCTTTTTGCTCGCAATCTGAATGGTGGGTCTAGGCGTGTCCAAGTCTTACGATGTTATTTTTGCTGGGTGTTGAATCAATGTTACAGGCTTTTTGTTCACAATTTGAATGGTAGGTTATTGGGCGGGGGTAGAAATTGTAAATTCTTGCTCGTTTGATTGCGGTGGGACATATGTCGAAGACTCCGCAGCCAAAATGCCGGGTCAATGTTCTTCATTTCATTTGAGAGGTCTTGGCCGACGCCGAAGGCGTGTCCAAGTCTCACGACGTTAGTTTTGCTTGGTTTGGAATGTGGTGTAAAGCTGTCTGATCGCTGGCCGCTGGGATCAGGATCAGGTACGCAAGAATCCCCCTTGCTGCCTTTGACAGTCGCGAAATGCCGAGTCTTAGCTTGCTTGTGTGACACCCACCCGGAAATCATGAAATTCATGAGCTACGCACATCTAAAGTAAAAGCACAGAAAAACATCTGCACCAACATCTGCATTGTTGTAAGCAATATGCGATCACGCAGTTCCGCATGTTGCATCATCTAAGGCTGCTGAACACGTTTCTCTGGGTTTCTTTCAGTGATGGGAGCCTCTTGAGCTCACTGATGCAGGTCAACATGCAAGCGGGCGGCGAGGCCTACGACGATGATGAGGAAGCTTGCCATGCACGAGAAAGAAACGACTAGGCACGAGGCACCCGTTCCCAGGAACGGGCAGCCCGGAGGATAGGAGAGATCAAGCGGGGGGGGGGGGGAGGGGGGTTGCGAGGTTTCGGGCGCCTGGTAGTTTAGCCATATAAGTCGTGGGGTGCCAGGAGGACGGTCCTCGCGGCGGTCCTGGCGGACCCGGTGTACAGTGTCATCAGCAGTGAGGCCAGATCGCATCTATTTTTTTAACTGCATTGTACTGGGCCGAAGCAGAGAGAGAGAGAGAGAGAGATCTGTAAAGGATACATACGTATATGTATATTTTGAACTTACTAAGACCTAGCGAACACTGCAAAACCTGACCAAGAATTCAGCAAAAGAACTAGAACCGAAAGTGGAATCCCGTGAAACCTTATCGCTGGTCCGAGAATAGCTAGGACACCAATGCGATTCGATTGTACAAGCTGTCCCCGCTTCACTGCGTGCTAGTTTCGCTGTGCAGAAACTGTCGCACATGAGTTTCTCCCCACATGTCAAAGGTTGCAGCAAGCGTGGGCGTTCGAGGTGGTTTCATGCGACTTGCTATGAAATCACAACTCGTGCCCGCGCCTGCCCTCTGAAGTCGAGCGGTTTGTAAACCAAAAAAAAGACCTGAACGCAAGCTCTGCCTGAAGCCGAGAATGCAAAGTGGCAGGCTGGCCTGGGCGCAAGGGCGCCTGACCTTTCCAAATACCTACCCGAATGCGTTTCACGTAGCACGGAGCAAAAAGCCATTGACGGAGTGCATGATGTGCATGGTCTCCTTGAAGTGAGGCTTTGAGCCGTGGCTTGATGTGCCATAGGCATCCAAAGCAAAGAGTTTTCAAGCAACGGCCTGTTATGCTACGGTTCGAGCTACCAGGCTTTCCGTTTGCTTAGTAGTAACGAGTTTCGGGGGGAAGCTTTCGTGTGGGATGCAGGTCAGGTGTATCCTGGCACACAGGCACACAGGCACACAGGCACACAGGCACAGAGGCACACAGGCACACAGGCACGCAGGCACACAGGCACACGGGCACACACAGGCACACACGGGCACACACAGGCACACACGGGCACACACAGGCACACACGGGCACACACAGGCACACACGGGCACACACAGGCACACACGGGCACACACGGGCACACACAGGCACACACGGGCACACACGGGCACACACGGGCACACACAGGCACACACGGGCACACACCGGCACACACGGGCACACACGGGCACACACGGGCACACACGGGCACACACAGGCACACACAGGCACACACAGGCACACACAGGCACACACAGGCACACACAGGCACACACAGGCACACACAGGCACACACAGGCACACACAGGCACACACAGGCACACACACCCCCACACAGGCACACACAGGCACACACAGGCACACACAGGCACACACAGGCACACACAGGCACACACAGGCACACACAGGCACACACAGGCACACACAGGCACACACACACACACACACACCCACACAGGCACACACACCCCCA